GAACCAATTAAATAAGAAACTAATGTTTAAAAAAACTTCCAAAATCACCTTAGATAAACGGCAAAAGTCAACAGGCTTTTCAAAATCCAAAATATTGCCAAACAGGCGCTTTTGCATCTAGTTTCGAAACTAAATCATCCGCTATCGTCTTGTCTGTCTCACCTCACCTCACTCTTCTTGACAGTCAGCTCGACTCACTCTCCTCACTGGAGAATTTAAATCTGATCTGTGATGCTACTGTCGTTCGGCACGCTGCATTGAGCAGCCGCGTTCAATTTTTAATTGTAGTGTCTGTTCTTTTACTGAACTAAATGATTTTTATTACTATAAAAAATCAAAACGACAGTGGGGATCGGTGACGCGGTGGGCAAGTGACGTAACCGGTGTTGCGGCTTAACACCGGTATCACCGTCAGCACCGTCTATCGCGGCAAGCCTAATAGATATCGATCTTTATGAAGCCTTTTTTATCATGTAGAATTATTTATAGTGATTCTCCAATCAGGATTTTTACAGACATTTATTCAGGGCCTAAATTTCATTTTTGAAAATGGGGGTGGGGGTGGTGCATTCTCCTCTTAGGTGACTCTTGTGGGGGATTTATTTTAATTTGAGGGGTGGAGGAGGGGGCATTTTTTAGACATTTTTCAAAAATATATAATTATCTGACCTAAATGTTTGATCATGCAGTGCATTTTTGTTTTTACAATGGGGCAATTGTTGCACAATAGCTTACACACAGCACAAGCCTGATTTCATGAGCTGTATGTGAGGCGGCCTTATGTGTGTGTGCTTTGAGTGCGCATGAACGCACCGTCTCTAGAAGAGCATGCTAGTGCTGAATGGTTTAAAGGGGTGGTTGATTATGATTTCTCTTTTTTAACTTTAGTTACGGTGTAATGCTGCTATTAGAGCATAAACAATGTCTGCAAAGTTATGACGCTCAAAATTCAATGCAAAGGGAGATATTTTCTTTTAAAGAAATCGCTGTTTAAGGACTACAAAAAAAGGCTGGTAGGGACCACAACGTGTGTCTTTCCGGGTTTGTGACATCACTAACCCTGATGTTTACATAAACCTTGCCCCCTGGAACATGCAACTACCTGTAATGGTATGGGGGCGTGATATTTCCGGACAATGTGCACTAGGCGGTTAGCGATTCACAGCACACTGGGCCAGCTAACCAATCTGAGCTAGATTGCGTATTTCTGAGGGAGGGGCTTCATAGAACCAGGAACTCAACAGACATTTTGACGAGAATGGAAAAAGCGGTGTAGAATAAAGGTAAAATATGTGAAAATTATGTATTTTTACGAAGCATGAACACGTTACACTTCCCCCCCATAAACACAATCAAGCCTTCAAAAAAAGCTGATCAACCACCACTTTAAACACTGGCAAGACTTAAATAGAAATGCAAATGATAAACTTTAGTGCCGATGCGACACTGCCCGATTGTGCAAGTGACAATTCCTGTGTTAACTGTGCAGCTCGCTTATAGTGCAGACTCGATGTGGTGATTTGAAGTCATTTGCATTTTGAGAGGGAAAGTGATTCACTCACACTGTTTGTGAAATTACGTCTCACAGAAAGTTTTCTAATTTCTTTAAGTTATTTAATAAAGAAATATGAATTGTACCTCACCTTCAGCATTATAATTAAAGACGGTGCCACTGCATATCATGCCAAACCTCTCACAGTAGGCACGTCGTCAGCTTGAGATCGGCCTTTATAGAGACCGCCGATCAAACCTCTCAAAGCGATTATCGGCCGATAGCAATCAGTAGCCAATCAATAGGAGCACCCCTATCTTAAACCTTGCCCCTTTCTTACAATTGACTCTCATTCAGCCTTAATTTCCAAGTGCAACGCCCACATCTCAAAATCCAATGGATAAAAAGTTCCCATCCTACATACTTTTTTTTTTTTAGTCCCCTCGAGTGAACACTTAATGCTGAAGTAGTATAATGATGGCTGCTAAGCATTATGCCTGTATTTGTGTGCAGACATACACTGAGCCAGCTGCCAGTTACCTACATGGGCAGCAGGTGTACACGGGTCATCAGCAGGGTGTGGTTGTGCAGCAGGGAGGCACAGTCACCACCATTGTCACATCTCAGACAGTTCAACAGGTATGTAACTCAGGCCTTTCACCAGATGAGGGTGCTGTTACTCGGTCTCTCACCATCTTTTTTTTTTTTTTTTTTTTGAGCATTCCTTCTGCTTAGTAATTGTTCATAAAGAAATGCTGGGACTATGAATATGCACATAATCGATTAGTCATATTTATTTATTTTAATTTAATTTTTTTAAAGGGTGTACAAAATTTTTTCCCCCACGTTTTATCACCAAAAACAAAATAAGCTATTTTTAACAAGCTGTGCATTTCTATTGAAGAATGAATGAATCAATCAATCAATAAAAAAGATTAAAAATTGATTAAGGCCTGTTTGCAACAACACACGATAACTATAACGATAAAGATATAGTTTTAAAAATCATTCTAAATGTAAAAGAATCGCAGAGTCCTCACCACATCTATAATGATAACGACACTATAGCTTTGGAATCACTTTCAGATTTTTTTATTTTTTTTTTCATCTTATGAATGATAAAAACATTGACAGCCAATCAGAAGAAAGATTGCAGGCGTTTAAAGTGGCAGATGACATAACTGTACACACAACCGCACTTATCGTGTGTTGGCGCCATTACGGGGCCCAAATCGCGACTTTGGAAAATTTTTTTTTTTTTTAAGCGCATCGTCTTGCGCTTTAACGGACAAATGCACCTTGCCAATTTGAACAGTCAAGCGATTTTAACGCATTCAAGCACAAGGATACACGAGTAGCAACTTTATTCAGTGTGTTGTTACTCAGACAGCCGCGTCTCTGATATCTAGAGCTCTGCATTTCTGCCCGAGCCCGATGGGCCCTGACTTACGCCCCTAGGGCCGGGCTTTTTTCACGTCATATCTCAGACACGGGCGGGCATTGTGCCTGTTTTAGGCTTCTCATTTTTTTTTATTTTTTTTTTTTTTTTTCGTAATCTTTCAATTATGGTGATGAAAAAGATTTGCCATGCTGGTGGAAACAACACGAGACCATTCTACCGCGACTGTCAAGACTCGGACGGTGTTTAGTGTCCCCGCCAGCAGCAGCGAGCGTGCCTTCAGCACAGCTGGAAGATTTTAGAAAAAAAGGAGGACTGAGTGTCCCCGGCAGCAGCAGCGAGCGTGCCTTCAGCACAGCTGGAAGATTTTAGAAAAAAAGGAGGACTGGATTAAAACTAGGGCTGCTCCTGACCAGAGATTAATTACTTAAATTCTAAACCATAATGAGCCTTTAATATTTAGGCTAACCTATTCCGCGTTCAAGCGCACGCAATAGGTTAAAGCTTGCCGCAAAGCCCCGGCAAAATTACCATGAATGTGTCTGGGGGAAATGGTAAGGAGATATTTTAATTATCAGTGTTGCAAAGATGAAGTTGACCATCCTGACTCGCCCTCTCCTCACTGGATGCACCTTAAGAGAGAAGTGCATCTTTACAGATTACGTAATGAAAGAGTTTTTGTTTTCGATTTGAATTATTTCGTTTTAAAATAGAAGGGGTGGGAATCACCAGAGGCCTCACGATACGATATTATCGCGATACTTGTGTCACGATACAATATTATTGCGATTTTAAATATATTGCGATATATTGTAATTTATTATCTTTTTCCAAATTCAAATTATGTCCCCAAAGGAAAACTTTGGCAACATCTGTTTTAACTAAAAATAAACATTTCTCAGTTTGTTTATCTCACTTCAATTTTATTGCTGCAGTGCAAAATGGGATTGTCAAGCAGACAAACTGACCAACACTTTCATGAAAACCTCATAACCTCATAAATGTTGTATGCACCTGGCAAACTCAATTCTTTGAATTACAGTCTAATAAAGTCCACCTTAATTAAATTAGGGTGACCATATATTGGTTTTCCATAAAGAGGACAGTGGGTGCGGGGGTTTGGGGTGTGGTTGGTTGGTGGTTAAAGTAATGCCGAAAGTGCCCAAAGTAGCGCAATCTCAAATATCAAATTTGGTATATTGGTAATATTTCAATACCTAATATACATATTTTATATCTACTTAACATCTAGCACAGTTTTATCATAGGTAGAATGCAAAATGTTTCAATACAAGCATTTCAGTCAAATGTAATTTATGCAACATTTCAAACCTTTATCCCATGGGGAAAAATCAAGCCATGGCAACAGTTTAAAAGTAGCCCAATTCCATCGGGGAAAAAAAAAACCACGGACTTGACAACCCTGCATCCAACACGAGCTGCAGGAGTCAGATATTTGGTATATTGGTAATATTTCAATACCTAATATACATATTTTATATCTACTTAACATCTAGCACAGTTTTATCATAGGTAGAATGCAAAATGTTAGCCATCTTTATTTTACTAACTTACTGCATACAGAAGGTGACCCAGCTGACCTCACCAGAAAAAAACTCAACACCACCATCTAGGGGGCTGTAAAGAAATTGATTTTATTATTCGTTCAAGACCGAGACGGCAGAAAAGCGCATCCTGTTTGTTTTCTTTATTTTAAAAAAGCACAACATTTTGTAGATATTATGAGTGCACACAAATAAAAGTAGACCCTTTACAGTTCCAAATGATGTATTACTCTTATGAGCAAAAATTACAGCGTTAAGTTGTTTCTGTTGTTAAGAAAAAAATGCAAGTAATCACGCCAGCCCCTCAATGTCCTGCAGAGCGCGCTTTAGCTTCCACTCTCCGCACAAACAATTGGATATGCGCCTAATAGCGCACATTTTTAGGTTAAACGTTTAAACTAACATTGTGATATGCTTGAAGTGTTTTATAGATTTTATTTTAGGCAAGTCGTGTTGATTTGAGAAGGCTAAATTGATCAAACGTGATCAACTCACTGTCTGCCGCTGGCCGCTTAGTCGTTATTTGAAAAAAACAAAAACTTGAATTTAACAAACAAAAAATGTTCCAAACATATTTCTCAATTAACTTAAAGAAATGAAAAGAAATATAACCACTTTGCCATTAAAAACAAAACTATTTTAATGGCTGCAACAGCAGCTGTGCAATGGGGAAGAGAGAGAGAAAAAAAAAGACTCTGGCTCCTGTCGGACTCGAGAATTCTGATAAACTGTCGGACAATTTATATATAGTTTCTTTCAATTTCTTAAGCGTCAAAAGAAAAAACACATTCATCTGGAAGAAGGGGGCTCAAATTTTCTTGCATACCTTGCAAAGGGTCTTGCATACCTCCCTTAAAACTCTTCATGGCGCCCCTGGTTGGTGTGATTGGTCCTTTACTCATGCGCAAACCTAGTAGAAAGACAGGAATTTTCTGAGTGTTTTCGAAATGTAATAAGGTTGTAAGGCACAACTGTTTCAGGTTTGATTCAGTGTGATGCACATAAATCTAACGCAGCATTATAAGCTATGTTATTAATTGGCATAATTAATATGGTCACATGGCCTTAACTGTAGTATAAAGTCCCTGCTAGACTGCTTGTAATTAGTATTTTATAGACAACATGGTTCCAGTAACCCTAAACATGCTGACTAACCTCTCCTGAACTGTGATTCACCACAGGAAATGATCGTACCCAACAGCATCGTTGATCTGCCACCCCCTTCCCCTCCCAAACCTAAAACCATTATCCTGCCTCCCAGTTGGAAAGTGGCGCGAGACCCAGAGGGCAGAATCTATTACTATCACATCATCACCAGGTATGAATGGTCCTTATTAAGCAAGCAATCTGTATATCATTAAAACAGAAGGAGGGGGCAAGAATTAAACCTCCTTTTTTAATCAATTAAGCTTGATGACATCACCATGGATTGATCTAATGATGAAGATATTCCCGCCAAACCATGTCTGCCTTTGTCCTATTGTAATGGCTTCACTGAGCACATGATGAAATGCGCTTTCTCTTTCAGGCAAACACAGTGGGATCCTCCCAGCTGGGATGGGACTACAGAGGAAGCCAGTGTAGAACACGAGGCTGAGATGGACCTCGGGACGCCCACATACGATGAAAATCCTTCAAAGGTATTAAACGATTCATTATGCTTAGGGGAATATCATAGGACTTTTATCAACCTGAACATTGAAGTACTGTAGTAGTTGTACTTCTTAATACACAACTTCAACCCTGGCCCACCCAGACCATTTATGAAAATCAAAGCAAAAACGGATAATTCAGTTGATGGCACCACCTTAAACATATTAACATATGCCTGCCCACGATTACACCTTAGACCAGTAACTTTGTGGGATATTTGTTACTCATTTTACATGCAAATAAGTTAACAGAGGTCATTTGAATATAAAAATCTTAAAGGTACAGTAACAGAAAAAGGTCAAAAGAGGAGTGGAGAAAAGGTCACACAAAAACATTTCTTAATGTTTTTGAGACTTTTTTTCCCCCTCTTACGTTCACAATGTGAAATGATACTAATGTGTAGAATGAATGCTCAGTATTTATTTTATTCATATAAATATTAACAAAGTTACAGCATGGAAAGACTAAGAATGTTACATGAGACATTCAGTATGTAGATTTTGGTAGTATCGGCACAATGATCTCTTTATTGCTTTTCTTTACACACATTATCGTATCAGTTAAACCCAATGTCGGTCAACCTCTAATTCATATGTAATAGATTTATTTTAAGATTAGATGGGTTTGTTCCATTTAGACATACAGTATTCATTTTATTTGTGAAGGTCTTAAAGTGCCCCTATTAATGCCTTTTCGAATATTACCTTTCATGCAGTGTGTCATGTAGCTGTATGTGAACATAAACTATCTGCAAAGTTGTGAAGCCGACAGTGCACGATACATAAAGTTATTGTCGATCAAAAAAAGAGTCGGCTCGCAATCGCCTAAACGAGTCGTTTACAAATCATTTAGAAATTAGGTAAAATTAAATCTATTTTTTGAGAAAACTAATCTGTTTTTTGACCTTGCATGCATGTAAACCTGTTTTAGGAGACTCATAAAACAATATTGGCAACCTTAAAAATGGCATAATAGGGGCACTTTAAAGTCTTAAGTTTGTTTTAAAAACTCCGCAGATACCCTGAATAAAGGCAAAAAGCCAAATAAAGAAAACAAACTGTCAGTAGTACGAAACAAAGAAATGAATTAGATAAAGCAGTGGGCTTTTTTAGGTGTTTTTTTTTCTTGATAATATCGCTGTTATAGACCTGTTTTCTATTACACAAACCAGCTGTATTTACATGAATACCTTACCAAGACAGATATTTTGACTAAGACGTGCACTTAACCGTTCTTGCACGCAGCAAAATTACCATGACAAGTGATCTTTGCAGCACACAAACACATACACGTGAGCGTTTGAAGCGGCTGCCTTTCAGACAGTATTAAGTACCAAATAGTGTGAAAAAACTGTTTTTGTTTTTAATGTTTTTGATTGATTTAGTACTGGTCAAGTATCAAAGCACTGGTACTTTTAACAGTCTCTATTCTAGAGTTCACTTTGGTACACACATGTAGGGCCTGAGACTGTCCCAGCCTCTCTGGATAATTGAAGATGTTGTTCCAGGCATCTACGATGGAATGGTTCACAGCTGGGGCTCATCCACATAGAGAAAAGCTATTTGAAGTTCGGAGGAAAACACTTAGACCACTTAAATTTGCCTCAGTGTTTAAAAGGCATTGGTTTTTAAGATGCATCATCTGATGCAAATATACAAGAGGTCTGACCGGGCCAATCCGAATCGAAACATGGTCAAAAGCAAGTTACAGTAAACATTGTTTTAATAACCATCTTGATCTGTCGTTCACTGCCGTCGTCTCTCCCCCATCACCCACTCTGCGTTTCTTTCTTTCTTTCTCTGCCTCATTCTCTCTCTCAGGGTTTTGCTGGTGTTTTCTCTGGCTCTCTTTGATGCTAATCAAACCCAGCTGTTGCAACTGCATTCATTTATGTGTGGTTTCTCGTTTGGAAGTCGAACTGTGCAGAATCTCTTTTCTTCTCGTTTTAGACTTCAAAATATCTTGAATATTAAACTTTTAACAGATTTCGTTACCAAAGGGTTTTATTGTCTGTTGTCAGTATGTTAGCATTTCCTCTGACGTGCACTGGTTTGGCCTTTGGGTTTCTTTCTGGGACCATGGGACAATCAGTATTGACAGTCTTGGCATTGATTCAACATGTCTCATTCATGTCATATCGGCTGCCTAAGGGGACTCTGGGAGTTGCAGTGTTTAATGTTGTTCATTGTAGAATTTAGACTCCCAAGTATATTTTGGAAAAGAATGTTTAAACAATCTCTAGATTATATAATCTTACATGAGTAATACGTCAAATAAACTGTCAATATTCACAGTATGTATTTTCATGCGTTGGGTTTTTTTGTTTGACCCCTTTGCACAGTTCTCTACAAAGACCGCCGAGGCTGACACGTCCAGTGAGCTGGCCAAAAAAAGCAAAGAAGTCTTCCGCAAGGAGGTGAGCTTTAGATTCTCTTGGGTTTTTTACCAAATAATTAGCGGTGTGTGTCCGACTCGTCTAACTTCTCAATTTCTCCTGCTTATCTTTTCAGATGTCACAGTTTATTGTGCAATGCCTTAATCCGTACCGCAAACCAGACTGCAAGCTGGGCCGTATCAGTAACACAGAAGACTTCAAACATCTCGCTAGAAAGGTAGGTATCGTGTATGCCTTTATGCTTTTTTAAAAATGGACAAGGAACGTTCTTATGTTATTGTTTTAGATAATCTTGGTGAATGCTCAGATATATAGATAAGGCTGTTAAAGCACTTACATCCATATGCATGTAGATAGACATCTTTGGGTCACACAGTTTTTTTTCTTTTTTTCTTTCATGTTTATTAAAACTATATAACGGGAGTAGAGACAGATCTTTTCTTCTGTATTGTGATGTACATCCAAGTGAAATGGATTATCGAAAAGAAAAAAAATGTAAGATGGGGTCTTGGTTCAATCCACTTTGCATTATATGTATCCCTTTAAACTGGAGAAATCTTTGTTTTTGAAATGCATTGTCACTGAAGTCTTTTGTTATGATGTCATCGTTGCTGCATCTTTAAACCTTTGGTGTGCGTGTGTGTGTGTGTGTGTGTGTGTGTCTATCTGCTCACAGCTGACTCATGGGGTGATGAACAAGGAACTGAAGTCTTGCAAGAATCCTGAAGATCTTGAATGCAATGAGAACGTCAAACACAAGACCAAGGAGTACATCAAGAAGTACATGCAGAAGTTTGGCACTGTGTACCGGCCCAAGGAAGACACAGAGCTGGACTAACTAGCCTGAAGCAAACCCAGGAACCTCCTGGCAGCTCTTTCCAACTGAACACCTCTGGCCTGAACAGTTTTGGTGTGTCAGAACAGGGCAGCTCGAGCTCGAGTCCTGTTGTTTTGTTCCACTGACCATCTAACCATGTCCTAAATGCTGCTCTAGGAGGGGGCGTTGCCTGAGCTGTCCCGCACAGGGGACGCTTTTATGATGAGATAAACTGCTGCGGTATGAAGCGCGGAAGACGCAAACCAAGGGTGCTACACAGATTCTTTCCAAGATCTTTTTAGTCTTCTCAAAATTATCTCTAAGGCAAGTGTCATCACTTGAGCGAAGAGGATCATCTTAAACTCTGTTCTAGATGGGGAGAAAAAAGAATAAGTGGACCATTAAAATCCTTTTCCCTTGCCACCCCACTCCATTACTGTAGTTGTTACCAAGGGCTTTTGTTAGCTTGCCTGCTCTGCTAAAGGTCCAATCCCTCGCTGATAGTAGTCGAGAAAGAAGGAAGGAGAAATACAGACGCTAAGGATTATATCTCAGATAAACTACCCACAGAACTAGTCATGTTGGACACACTGGCCATGGGGTCGCCCAGCTCAGCATTGTTTTTATGGATTTTAGACTACAAAATAGAAGTGTGCAGGTCTGTGATCTAACCCCATTTGCCCTGGTCTTGTTTCTCCTCTCGACTGGGTGGAAGGTTATGTAGCAATGATATTTTATCGAGGTCTTTCACACTGTTTTTACATTAACATGTTTTTATTCATGTCGCGAAGGCAAATGTGAAGCCCTCCAGGCAGTTTGTAGCTTATTTTTGTGGCCATCATGTAAGGATTGATCAGGTTTACTATCCCATAAGCTCTGGCCGTTAATCAGCTCTCACCCCACCTTATTAACCTGCATTAAATTTCCAAACATGTATTATATTGCTTTATATGTGAATATATTGAGAGTTAGTTTTTGAGACCATTTGCAGAGACTTGACTGTGGGGGTCCACGTTGTCTTGTGTAAATAGGTCTAATTATACCAGACCGGAAAAACGGAATTAGAAGGATACGACTAGGCCCAAGTCCTCCGTCCCGTCGGCACGGCTCTGGTGTGCCTACATCATGGCTCCGTATGTTGGGTTGGGTTTTAAAGGTGAGGGTGTTGTTTCTTTTTCCCTTGCTTTCTCTGTAGAAAGACTTTGGATCTTTTTTTATGTACAAATAGGAGTCTTGCCCCACTCCACTGTAAGTACTGTGCAAGCACATTGTCATACTGAGTGTAAAAACATTTTAAGATAAAATTAACTGTTTTCTAAAAAATAAGTCTTGGTTGTCTTGTCACCTTACCTGCGTGAATCGCCGTAGCTCCGGTTGGAATGTTCTTCCGCGGGATGTGTGCAGTTCTGTATATTAACCGCTAGAGCGCCAAAAGTTACATAGTGCTGCTTTAAGTCCAGCATAGAGAGAAGTCACCAGAGAGAAGTCTGTCCATTTATCAGAAGATCCAGTTATGACATTTTGATGAAAAATTATGAGGTCAGAGCTAATTTTAAAGAATGAAACTTACATTGATTAAGTGTTCAAAATAAGATTATTACAGTTATTCATTTATTAACTATTATTACTATTTATCATGAAGACTAAATTCATTACTTCAGAGTTATGTGCCCTCTAGAAGCTTGCGTTCTGCAAGTGAACGGCGTATAATTGTGCCATCTCAAAGAGGCACAAAATCACTTTCACAGACTTTTTCATTAACTGTTCCCTCCTGGTGGAATGACCTGCCCAAAAATGACTAAATCTAAATCTAATATATATGCTTGAGGTTACATCTAATACCTCTAATGGGAAGAACAAAGATGTAAAAGAAATTTTTTAAACAAAATACAATTATCTTTTAGATAATACATTAATCTCGTTTTGGCTATACAATATAAAAAAGTCAAATTTTCTTTGGAAACAATTATTTTACATCCCACATTTTAATATGCCTTATAAATGCTAATACATTAAAATGTATAGTTGCCTTTATATTTTAGAAAAAAGCCAATTTAACTTTGAAAAAAAATTTTATATCATGCTTTTTTAATATACAGTAAATGGTATTAATTCATGAAAATATAGTTACCTTTATATTTAAGGAAGCAGGTCTCTCAAATTTTTTTTTTTATCATATGTGGTCATCCTAGGTGAAGTCAGCCAAAAAGGAACCTCATTTCAGAGACGGGTCAAGTTATTTGCATTTCATGAAAGATTGAGACAAATTCTAAAAGATTATGAAAGAAAATATTTTTTTTTTCTTTGAAATAATGTGCTCTGATGGATTATGTACAATATATCTAAGAATGTATATTAAAGTAAATACATGTTGACTCTTTTAAACCCTATGGGGTGACTGCCACCACAGCACAGATCTGGCTCTATTAAACCAAAGAATCAAAGTGGTGCACTGCTTTCATTAGAGGCTCTTCCAGGACTCAGACTCTCCCGAAACCATCTGAGCAGAGCTGGTTTTCCCCTCCCCTCTGCAGAGCCCTTCTTTATGTAGAGCAGAGCTCCCAGTGCCAGGGCATTCCGCTGGGCTGCTCCAGACCGCAGTTAAGCAGCTCCGTCTGGAGTACGTGACGGCATGCAGAGCCGCCCAAGTCCCTGCAAACCTTCAGTCACAGAAATCATTAACACATTTCAGCAAGATGTGAACAGAGAGAGTGCTAGGAAATCCACACACCTGAGCTGCAAAACGTTTGTACAATGACAGCAGAGCCAACTGTCTGTTCTACTCATATCCATAAGTGTCTTTTAGAAGTATGGCTCGAGTTTTACCCCTGATTGCTGCCCGAAATGTACAATACGCTGCTATGCTTTGCATTCATTCTCAGCGTCACATAAGGTGACCAGATTTCTGAAATGGAAACCAGGAACATTTCTTAGTTCAGTGGTCAAAATATTATTAAAAACGTGCCTGTTATTATCTATTAATTAAAAAACTGGGACAATACACTGTATTTTTTACTGTATTATATATTACTTAATATATTATTTTAATATTATATATTATTATAATCAATCATTTTTATGACGTTTGCAGGTCAAACTGACCCTAACTGTTTCAATACAATTAAACATTATACACATACTCTTATACACATAAAAAACATTTATGTGTATAAGAGTATGTGTATAATGTGAATATGAGAATGTGTATAAGCACACTGTTGTGATCGCCTGTCATTACATCAGAAAATTCTGACTGCCAATAAACTGCTGTTTTTGGTTGGGTGTTGAGTTGGCATTAACACTATTTTGGCTCTCAAACGGATTTACATTTCTCACAACACTCCCTTTTGCCAAGTTGAGCAATAGGCCCAGAAAAAAAAACACAAAACAGCTTCACCTTTTGCTATGGTTTTAAAGCTCTTTTTTTAGAGCATTCTGCTTCAAGACAACAACAAGAGCGTAATCAGACCCAGCGGCTCCAGATTTGACTGTTTGGGTTAATGGTGCAGAAAAGGCTTTTGAAATGCAAGATATTTTCTGTAATTCCAAGTTCAGATCTTGTTTTCATTATAACACTGCACCATTATAAATCCTCAGGGTCATAAAATACTATTTCTTTTCTCACACAATGTATTATTTATTTTTATTTTATTTTTTTAAATACAAAAGATACCTATAAATCAATCTTTCATTATTAAAAAGGACAACCATAAGTGATAGATACATAACATGAATGTTATTAACATGAAAAGCATCTCAGCACAGAAACCATCAAGTCTCATCTATAACTACGCACTAACATACAGAATGACCTTAAAATACATACATGGTAGAGTAAACCAGCAAAGCACAAACCTGAGCATTCAAAGTAAAGGCACCAGAGAGTTTTCCTCTCATATAACTCACAAAAACATAACATTGCTTTTAGGTTGCATTGTTGGTTAAAGTGCAAACCAAGCACTAGTGTGAATGAGACACATTTTTTGTCAAAGAGAATCATTCGCTCAGGCAACTTGACCGTGTATCTGTATATTTCCAAATATACAAGTCACTCGTGCAGCCCATTTAGTGGTTTTCCTCTCTGGAAACCATAAAACACCTCACAGTGTTATGTTGCCCTTGATAAAAGCTAAATACTCTATCTAGCTTCGGTATTGACAGTTTAAACGGCTGAAGCGCTGAAATATAAATACAAAAGCACGATTGAATCGCATGCATGATGCTTGCGTTCCGCACAAATGGAAAACTGTCATTCACGAGGCCGCAGAAATGTTCACGAAATGTCCACGTCTTTGATACCAACCACAGCTGAAGCCACAACCACCCAAAACACTGACAATGAAAATGTTCAGCATGAATGTGTCTCGGAGAAAACAAGAGTTTGTTTTGACACTACAAAGAGGATAGTATGGAGCATAAACTTCCCATGAATACTGGAGGAAACATCTGTCTTGAGCAGAAAATGTTCTGAGGTGATGGAACATCTCAAGCTGTTGAAACAAAATTCGTAAGGGAAACATTATGTTGAATTAAAAACCTTATTTCCAATTCTGCTCTTCAAAGTCTTAGTGCAAGGCATTCGAAAATGAGTCAGTTGACGCTCTTCCTCTATGGTTTTAGTGTCTCTTTCACTTTCATGAGGGCGTAAGAAACATATTCAAGTATTCAGACCACTGACACTCCTTGAGAGGGGGCGGTGAGGGCGCTGATGATGTCCGGCCGTTCAATGCGTGCGAGAGCGGAGCAGAGCAGACCCAATGTGGAGCCTTCCTGTTGGGCCCAATCAGTTAAGAGGGTGTGGATAGGGTCCTGGCCCCGTCCAAAGACGTCCACGCGGTCCTGTTCGTAACCAAGTGCGGCTGCCAGCTGCCTCCAGCTTCGATTGTCCCCCTCTGCGAGAAGCCCCTGTACCTCATCCTTCCTGTGGGGCGGCAGGTTCACATAAAGCCGCGTGTCCTGTTTGCTGTCTCGTTTACTGCCTGCCGAGAATATGAGAAAGGGAACAAATAATAACCACGAGTGACAATACTTCCAGGTATTCCAAACATTCAACGCAACCAGTGTAGTCCAATTCACAAACAAATGACTCTTATGAACCAATTCTTTTTTGTGAATCAAAGCATACAGCACAACCAATGTAGCCAGACTCCTGAAATGAATGACTTATGAACCACTTATGAATCAAAAACAAATAATGTGACCAAGGTAGCGCGATTCCCAAAATAAATGATAGAACAAATGACTCTTATGAGCCAGTTCTTTAATTGAACAGTTCAAAAAGATGAATGAATAGTACAAATTACTCATATGAATCAGTACTTTTAACGAACAGTTCAAAAAGATGAATTAATAGTACAAATGACTCTTAGGAGCCATTTTTTAATGAACAGTTAAAAATGTCGAATGAATGGTACAAATGATGCTTATGAGATGGTTTTTTAAATGAACAGTTCAAAAAGACAAATAAATAGTAGAAATTACTCTTATGATCGGTAAATGTGTATGAATTCCCAGCCCCAGACATCTGTGTTTAAGCCGTTCTCTCATACCTTTGCTAGGCTGGCTTTCCTGAAGGCTGTGAGAGTCCAGGAACACGCCACTGTCGCTGTGTAATTTCTCTCCTTCCCCGACATTATTCAACTCGCCAACCCGTGCTTTCACCAGAGCCTGCTTCTGCTGACATGACTTCCAGCTGGACACATACCAAATCACACGTTTATCATCAAACAAAAAAACAACAAGAATAATATTTCACTACACAGACACGTTACGGTATTCCATATCTTACATACACAAGTAGAATGAATTTGTCTGTAAATCATGTGTACAACGTCATAAAGCATATTTTTCTTCTTTAAATTGCTGCACGATCTCACCATTTGTAGGCAACGTAGAGCAGGAGGCCGAGCACCACTGCAGCCAGTACAGACACGTAGACAAGGATGTTGTTGTTGTTACCCCCTTGGTCCTGTGGAGTGAGTCGAGGGGATTCAGACCCTGGTGCTGGGCTGCTCCTGTTCTCGGTTTCCTCATTCAGAGTCGGCCATCGGGGGTATTCACGCGGACCATCAGAACCAGATGGACGGGACAGGATGTTGAGATCTTTTACTGCAAAAAAAAGCAACAGAATTGGTCATTTTGAACTGCCTTTACAAACATTAAAGTTTTCAAAAACAATAAACTTTTGATCTCTCTCTCTCTCTCTCTCTCTCTCTCTCTCTCTATCTATCTATATATTTATTTATTTATTTATATATATGAGTCTGTAGTTGTGCTTTATAAATTCAAACTCATTAGACTCACATTAGTTCTGACTAGACATATGAAGCACACTCAACACCACCCTGAAGCACTTAAACACCTAGACTGCAAAAAAAGGAAATGCTCTTTTTAGCTTTCACATGAAACCCACATCTGACACACATCTGCTGTGAGGCTGATTAACACATCATCAGTGGGCGCAGGCACAGCTGACAGACTAAATGCCAGATCGAAATGTTGAACAGTGTGGAATGGTCAAGAGGATTCATGCCCCCACCCTCCATCCTGAAATAGATCATGCAGGCCACCCCACACACACTATCACACAGATGCATGCATTCTTTTGTCCACTCACTCTCTCACACACCCACAGGCTGCCTGTGTGCACCAAACACTCGGTGTGGCTGCCCTGACCTCGGCAGGTCGAGTGCTCTAACTGGTGTCTCCACTCTACAGAGAACAGAGGGCAACATGGGATGCGACCCACTAGCCAGCTGGTTAACCTCCAAACCGATTTAACACACCTCAGGGCAAATCCATTAAAAATGTGGCACTTTAGACTAAAAAACGTTTAAAACATGATACATTTGATTGTTTAGAGATTAGACAAAATCTATGTAAAGTGTTTATCTTCTTAATCTGATCATGACTGGATTGTTGCTAAGCTCACTGAAGAATAAGAAGAACATTTGAAGTCAAAGCGAGAGCTGTATTTTCTTAAAAGCTTCTCTCTGACTGAACACAGGTGTCTGCCACATGTTAACAATCTAACCATACACACTCACAGATGCATAAATGTTATTATATATAGCTTGGCACAAACTTCATCCAAGACACACATGCATCTCGGGTTACGTTCACACAGTCAGTGTTTGGAATTGACAACCGTATTTACTAACAGGTGTGTCAAATCAAAGACAATTAAAAGGGTCCAAGTTACAGAAAAGAAAACTTCTTTTCAAATTCTAGTTCAAAAAGCATGGGCCAAGTTCTGAGAAATAAATTCATGCTTTTTATTCATCTGGGTTTTTAAAACATACAATTTTTGTATGTACATACATAATGATATTTTGAATAGAATAACGAGACACAAACCTGTAAATATTCAATAGCGTTTGCTTCCATTTATTTTTGATCAGTGCTTCGCTACACAACATACAAACTTTTCCTCCAAAAGTGCGCACATTATGTATTCACACGTTTACCTCATATTTCTTTAAATAGAATAGAACTCCAAAAGTGCGCACATTATGTATTAACACGTTTACCTCATATTTCTTTAAATAGAATAGAACCATAATTTCTGACTCGCAGAAAGACGATTCTCTGCCGATCCGTCAATATTGCGTGATCATGTTGCATTATTTTACTTGCTGATGTTTTTAAAAATATTTAATATTTTAGCATCACCCAGGGGGATATTATAAAAATAATTCAGCAGAGGCAGGGATGCATAGACCAGAAGGGGGGAAAATAAAGCTATAATAAAGCTATAAATAGCTATAATAAAAAATTGTGATTTAAAATGTGATTTTCATTCATTCATTCATTTAAAAAGCTCCAGGTTTGCTGTGCTTGTTTGTAGGGCTGCATAACTTGGCTAAAATGTTGTGATTATTTATCAGTATGACTATAAATAATAATAATAATAATAATATGTTTTATTATTACTGAATAAAACCATTAAACAAAATAAGAAATATTACTATTGTAATATTTCACTGTAAAATTACAAATAGAGTGTTTCAGAAACACGCAGCGCAAAAAAATTAATTAAATCACAGCCTAATCAAGATTTTGGTTTTATTTTGGATAAACATGCCTTACAGTTGTATGCTGCTCCATCATACACCCAAAAGAATTTACCTAAACGCACACTAGAATACAATGACCATCACTCTCACCCATGCAGACAGTGTCAGAGTCCGGCTGGCAGGGTCTGATCTCCACCTCGTCATCACTACAGCGTGAGCAGGGCACGCAGGGTTTCCTGTCACTCCTCTCCTTTGAGTAAGTCCCTGGTTTACACCGCTCACATACGGTATTTCCCAGCGGCCCACAGGCCCGAACCACTCCGCTTCCATGCCCACACATGCTACAGGCCGCGCACAGCCCACTTGTGCTGTTACCATCCCGCCACAGGAAGAAACGTTCACCGCAATCACACTGGGTATCCTGAGTGGGCGTGCAGCGTGCCAGTTCAGGAATACCGAAGGGGCAGCGGGCGCACAGACGACAGGCTAAAAGACTCTCAGAGTCTGAGAACGACACACCTAGGAGAGATTTAAAGTGATTTTTATCAATAAAACAGAAATAAACATTGGGAAAACAACAATATTCTCAGCTAGGCATTTATTCCAATTAAAAACGAAAACTTATGTTTTGAAAACACTCACCATCTTGACACGGCTGACACTTGGTGTCTTCCTGACCATAGCTGTTTGCCAAACCAGTGCCCGCAGCACACATGCTGTAACATTCTCCTGTTTTTGTAAACTGCTCGCTGGTACAGACCTTACCAAACGCCACCTGCAAAACACACAAGCACGTCAAATTCATATTAATGTTAATAATTACATGCAATTTGTAGCATTATTTTGCTCTTAGTAACCTAAAAGACAATACTAGGACAAAAAAATGACTTTTAAGAGTTTTCTATCCCTCTCAGTCTCAATATATAACAGAAACTTGAAGTATAGTATACTTGTCAAAATATAAAAAAAAGTAGTCAAATACATATTGAAAATGTATAATTTAACTTACAAGGTTTGTCTAGAAAGGAGTGAAAAAATATGTTCAAATATTCCATTTAATGTCAAAGAACGTTACATAAAAAGGTTTATACACAAGTTTTTTTTTTTTTTCTTACCAAACGCCACCTGCAAAACACACAAGCACGTCAAATTCATATTAATGTTAATAATGACATGCAATTTGTAGCATTATTTTGCTCTTAGTAACCTAAAAGACAATACTAGGACAAAAAAATGACTTTTAAGAGATTTCTATCCCTCTCAGTCTCAATATATAACAGAAACTTGAAGTATAGTATACTTGTCAAAATATTAAAAAAAGTAGTCAAATACGTATTGAAAATGTATAATTTAACTTACAAGGTTTGTCTAGAAAGGAGTGAAAAAATATGTTCAAATATTCCATTTAATGTCAAAGAACGTTACATAAAAAGGTTTATACACAAGTTTTTTTTTTTTTTTTAACAAAATCTGTAATTTTCTGTTGTTGTCTAGATGTAGCAAAACTCCTATAGATGTAGCAGAAATCATTGTGCCTGTGTCATGTTTACATTTTCTTCTATCACTGGCAATTGAGCTTGAAATCAGGATTAGGCATAAAATAATGTCATACATGTAAAAAATCAGCTGAGAATTGTACAAATAGTTGTAACCTGGCTCAGAGGAAGATAGGAATCGTGTCTTTGTGGCAGTTTTTTCTGCTGTCGAAAAACAAAAATGCTCTGAAATGCACATCATATTTTGTGAGAAAGGGTGACTTGCTAGAGCAAAACAGACACTATTTTTGGAATCAGCACTCCAAAATGAATAAGAAACAAGGATGTGATTTCATGATGCGGAGTGGTGTTATAGGTAAAAATTACAAAGTTCTAAACAATATAAGTCTGATTCACATTCAAAAAGAGCGGCTTCATGAATCCACAGCTTTTAATTTGGAGGAGAACTTGCCATATCGTGTAGTCCACACATTGACATACGTGGGACACTATGTTCTAACACACACACATTTCCCTGTGATTTTGCATTAAATGGGGTTTCGGCATTTTAATTGCACAGTGTTTCCTGTGAGAGCCTGAAGTGAGTTTCAAGAGTCCTTGTGACTTTACCACTCCAATTTGGGTGTAAATAGTGACCGAGTGTAACAACACAGCCTTTCACACAACTATAACAAAACAAAATCATAAATGAGTGAGGCAGACCATCATTAAGGGATGTTTAAAAAGACTCCTTGTTCATGGAAATGGAACATTATGTGTATTAGCACCCATTTCAAACAGACGTATCAGCAGTGGGGACACCGGTGCAGCTTGAGACCTCAGGGGAGGGTGTGATGTGTGTGTGCGCGTCTGTTTGAGTAGGAGAGAAGACTTTGATGTCCCCCTCAGCTCTGCAGGTGTGATAGAGGAGGTCAGTTCTGCGGCATCTTAAACATGCATATGTTTAGGAAAATTACCCCTCACACACCCACTCCGCTTCACAACTGCCCCCTGGGGCCCTGACAAGAGCCAACAGATGCCTAACATGTAAAGCTCCTCCAAAGAGGGAAAGCAAAACCCACACAGCCTCTCTGATGTCTCTCTCTTCTCCTCTCTGTTCTCTGTTGGGATGAGAGCGTGTGTAAACCTGTTGAACGAGTGCACACGCTCATAATCTCATAGAAACACTAATACACATTTGTACACAGCTGCCCACAGGGCAACAACCTTCACTTTGTAAGTAAAAAGAGCAGCTTCTTTCTGCATTTCAGCCACACCAGCTTTCTGCTGATACACCTTTTCATGGTTTATAAAGATTTGAGAAACTAAATATTCAGCATTGAAAGGGACCAAATTTAAACATTTAAGAATCTGCCATATAAAAAGCCCAAATTGATAGACCACAAACTAGAATATTGGGAAGTCCATGGTAGTTACAGTAATAGATAAATAAAATAAAATAAAATAAAAAAGGCTAGCCCAATAAATTATACACATCAAAAGTTTGGGTTCAGTAAGATTGTTGTTTTGAAAGAAATTAATACTTTTATTCAGCAAGGATACATTAAATTAACCAAAAGTAAAAGTAAAGGCATTCAGAATGTTACAGAAGATTTCTGTTTCAAATAAATGCTGTTCTTTTGAACTTTCTATTCATCAAAGAATCCTAAAATAAATGTATCATGGTTTTCTACAAAAAATATTAAGCAGCACAACTGTTTTCAACATTGATAATGATAAAAATATTTCTTGAGCATCAAATCAGCATATTAGAATGATTTCTGAAGGATCATGTGACACTGAAGACTGGAGTAATGATGCTGAAAATTCAGCTTTGCATCACAGGAATAAATTATATTCTAAAATATATTAAAATAGAAAACTGTTATTTAAATTGTATGTACTTTAATAATATTTCACAATATGACTTTTTGATATTTGACAGATAACTGAATGTAATTTTAACTCAAATAATCATTGAATAATATATATATATATATATATATATATAACAATAACAATAACAATATAATAACAATATATATATAACAATATATATATATAACAATATCTCACCTTATAATTTGTACCTAAGTCTAGCTAAATAGAATGTACAAAGTGCAAACAAATGATATAATCACCTATAAACATTTGGGTAGAGGCAGGAATGTATAGCTCCGAGGAGGGGAGGGTGGGGGCATAAACACTACAGACACTTCCAGCCTAAGTGCTGATTCCACATAATGCAGAGAGATAATGCATTTGAATGAAGCCACTTCACACAAAACATCTTTGATCTACCCAAACATCTCGTTCCCTTTTTTTTTTTTCATGTTCTGGTCAGTGTTGAGATTTTGGCATATTTTGCTTTTATAACATGTCTTTGTTCAGACTAGTTGAAAGCAAACATCCAAATACTTTTATTGCACTTTATCTATTTGCATCTGTAGATTTCATTTACAATCCATGTTTTAAAGGCAGTCTTCTCAAAATGAACACAGAGGGGTTTGTTCATATATGATTCGCCTGATTTTATTCCTAAAGGTGATTTTTTTTTTTCTGGCCGATGACAATATTTTTCTGATTTATGGAGTGATCAAATAAAATAGCCAACATCCCGTCTGTAAAAACTCTAATATGTCAACAAAACGAAATTTAGAATTTTTAACCCTGCTTTATCCAATCTTCAGGTTTCTGTTCTGGAAAATGTATGCAAATCAGTGCATATTTAAAGCCATTAATGTAACATTTCAGAAAATGTAATGTTATCAGTCAACTAAGGAAGTATGGTGATATCTATTAGTTATTTATATTTATGTATTTTTTTTACCCTACTCACCTGGGTTGTCTTGCCTTAAGTCCAGTGCTGTACAATATAATCTATGAGCACATGTGTGCTGCCCATGAGTGAGTTTGGAAAGAGAATGATGAAAACATGAAAGGATCCATGAGCCCCAGGAGGCAACAGTGATTGACCCCTCACCCCCACCAACCAAACATACAACCATAGACATCCACTGATTGAGCTAGAGACTGACCCCTATCTTATCTCACTGCAGCCAACAGCAGCAGAAGCTACGCTTCACAAAAGAGTCAGAACACATTAAACAGCAGGCTAAACATGGCCTCGGGCCTGTAGAACTTCAAGATCATTTACAAAAGTGTCAGTTTGCCGACGGAGACAGTGGGCTTCTCTATCAAAACGAGCAGGGAACAAGAGAGAGGGAAGTAAAAAAACCAACAAAAAACGAGGTTGTGAGTTCAAGAGGAAACCGCGATTCTGCCCGCACCAAAAGAAGTAAAGTGATGTGGCTAAATGGAAAGTCAAATTACTGAGCTGCAAATTCTACCCCCTTGCTCTCCGCAGACCAAGAGAAAATGATGATAATTACAATGCCCCGGATATCCCAGGCCCCAGCAGTACTTAAGCTGTGGTTGCCTATCAACCAACAGACATGGGGGAGCTGGTCTGCTGCTATCCCTGGCTCCCCCACAGACTGTTTGAACACACCAGGAGACAAGGATCTGGATCAGGCCAGTAGCATTTAATGCATTAACAACCACTGACCTGAAAAGAGTGCAGAATCATCAAGCAAAAATGTTCATCGTTTGCATTTTTGTGTAACTGTCAGAACAGACAAACCAGTTGTTTTATGATTAACTGTTTTAATTTGGAGTGACAAAGCAGCCTTTTATTTTGGTGTTCGGTTTAACGGGAATAAATCACAAGGCCATTTGGCTCTGTGTTGACATCTGCAGGGCATAATTTATCATTTGGAAAACATGATGAGATTTTCCATTTGGATGCAAAAAACTCAATTTATACTCGCTGTGAACACTCGCTGTGGAGGATATTACACTGAATGAGTGTGATAATAAACGCCAAAGTTGTGCTATCCACATCCTAAGAGACAAAAGGTGTTATTTTCCTGTCTTTGACTATACTTTTGTGCCAGGCAATATCCAGCATTTATTAAAAACTAAGGAAAAGGAACATATTATCCACACAAGTAACAAAAAATTACTTTCTGCGTAGTACAACACGCTTGCAAAAAAAAACTGCAATTATATACTGAATCCCCAACAGACTAATATGCAAGTTCAACACATTCTGAACGGGGAGTGTTATAACACAGTTGAGTTGTAACACCTTCAGTTTAACCAGTTAGAAACAAGCTTTTGAAGTAAGAAAGTACACTTTTATGTCAGACTTATTTAATTTTTGAATATGTTAAAGCGTGCTAATTGAAACAGGTGTCATCTGAATAGGGTTCTCCTGATTAATGTGATACTTGTAACACTATCCAGTGTATTTCTATATGCTACACTTGCCAAAATAGTGTCTCGGTCTGTTATGTTTTTAGAGACATTAGCTTATGTTTTTATTTGTTTCAGAATTTTTTTTATTATTTTGAATTAAAATGTCCTACATGTCTCAATTAAATTGTTTAAAATGAAATGAGGGTGACCGTTTAATTATTTTGAACAAGTAAATGTGATTACCACAATAAACTTTATTAGTGTTACAAAGAGTAGTTTGCAACAACAGCACACTTTTTGTACTTTACATTAACAGACATTAAATAAGTTGTGGATTTCTAAAGTACTTCAGTTCGAAGCAGATATAGCCTACTATATACTACTGAATAGCTACTATATCAAAATGTGAGATAACGTTACATAGCTAAAAAAAAAAAAACTTTACAGACGTTAAAGCAAAAAGTGTTACAACACTCCCTGGTCTCCTGTTCTTAAAAAAAGTAACTGGAAAGACTCAGTAACGTTGGAAAATATGAACAGAGAAAACAGAGAAAAGACAGCCATCCAAACTAAAAAAACTAAACGAGTTTACGAGTTTAAATGTCATATAATATTGATAATATTGTTAATAACTCACCTTTACGGCCAAGGTATACAAACAGAGTTGAAGTGCTGCCATTGCTCCCTTCATCTTCAGGACTTTTCCTCAGTGTTTGAGATTTAAAGCGACGAGTCTCTTGCGCTCAAAACCCACTGAAGTTCATAACCACAAAGCATACACAGAAGACATCTACAGCCCCTGTCCAAAGTGTTTGGCACTCTCTTCCATAGATATGAAAGGTCTTCTTCTCACACAAGAGTTTTTCTTCTTCTTCGAGACTTCCAGTGGAAAACTGTATGAATAGCTTTTACAGTAAATAGGCCTACGTATAATCCTTGTATGAAGCTTTAAAACATTAATACATCATCTCTCTTCTTTCTCTACAGACAAGTCTGCTAGTTAGTGCTGATCCTTCTTCCCTCAACCGATGCTGTGGCCGCGGCGGTCAGTGTAGACTGAATGGCTTTTTCTGAAGGGGATGGACATAAACCCCAGATCAACGCGCGGGTGATGCGCCTCACTGGAGCTCTGTGATTGGACAGACTGGCGCGTGGTGGAGGGACGCTGAACATTCCGTTCTTGTGGGAAAATAATTCTGTATCATAGTGCTTATTTATTACATGGCCATATCAGCAATAAAAAAGACCAGTGTTACTCAAATATTTTTAAATATTTTATTGCCAGTTGTTTTTTTTTTTTATTAAAGTTCTCTTACACAACAATAACTGCAGTAACTGAAATTTTGGACGGACACTGTGGTTACCATGGTTTATTTCTGGCCTAAAAATATTAGAACAGACTGAAACCCCATTTTGCCCAATCGAGGCTTCAGTTGGGAATTTGAGATAAAAAGAGACACAGCAGTGGCTTCAGTTTTCAGGTCTGAGGGGGTTTTGAGTAACGTCGTAAAACTCAGCATGGGGTCAGTTCAGACTTCAGAGAGAAACAAATGGAGACTTCCCTCGCATACAATGACCAGAGCGCTTCAAAGAATGACCGAGAAGAAGCGGGATAGAGTAAAGAAGAGATGGTGTTCAATTAATTCGTCGCTGATTCGTTTCGCTTTTTCCTTTCGTTCATGGTGTCAACAGACCTTAATGACTGAATGACTGAAACTGTGAGTATATAGGGAACTATATAGGGAACTGCTGGAGTAAATATAAAGCGCTTCTTTATTGAAGTAGCCCTGAGAATATTTCATTCTCGTTCTTTCTATCTTTGCTGACAGTTTGTTAATTTTTTTTAATGTCGACTTTAAGAATTAGATAGGTCTATTAGCTAAACCTCGAAACTTTTGACCGATTAACATGGCAGCCAGTTTCCCCTAAAATAACGCAGTTTCTGTAGAAATAACTGGAATCTATGAATAAAGAGCTATGCCTTTTAATGTTATTAGTGGCACAAATCCCATTTGTCTTTGACTATACTTTTGTGCCAGGCAATATCCAGCATTTATTAAAAACTAAGGAAAAGGAACATATTATCCACACAAGTAACAAAAAATTACTTTCTGCGTAGTACAACACGCTTGCAAAAAAAAACTGCAATTATATACTGAATCCCCAACAGACTAATATGCAAGTTCAACACATTCTGAACGGGGAGTGTTATAACACAGTTGAGTTGTAACACCTTCAGTTTAACCAGTTAGAAACAAGCTTTTGAAGTAAGAAAGTACACTTTTATGTCAGACTTATTTAATTTTTGAATATGTTAAAGCGTGCTAATTGAAACAGGTGTCATCTGAATAGGGTTCTCCTGATTAATGTGATACTTGTAACACTATCCAGTGTATTTCTATATGCTACACTTGCCAAAATAGTGTCTCGGTCTGTTATGTTTTTAGAGACATTAGCTTATGTTTTTATTTGTTTCAGAATTTTTTTTATTATTTTGAATTAAAATGTCCTACATGTCTCAATTAAATTGTTTAAAATGAAATGAGGGTGACCGTTTAATTATTTTGAACAAGTAAATGTGATTACCACAATAAACTTTATTAGTGTTACAAAGAGTAGTTTGCAACAACAGCACACTTTTTGTACTTTACATTAACAGACATTAAATAAGTTGTGGATTTCTAAAGTACTTCAGTTCGAAGCAGATATAGCCTACTATATACTACTGAATAGCTACTATATCAAAATGTGAGATAACGTTACATAGCTAAAAAAAAAAAAACTTTACAGACGTTAAAGCAAAAAGTGTTACAACACTCCCTGGTCTCCTGTTCTTAAAAAAAGTAACTGGAAAGACTCAGTAACGTTGGAAAATATGAACAGAGAAAAGTATGTGTTTACAGCCATCCAAACTAAAAAAACTAAACGAGTTTACGAGTTTAAATGTCATATAATATTGTAAAGCAGAATAATAACTCACCTTTACGGCCAAGGTATACAAACAGAGTTGAAGTGCTGCCATTGCTCCCTTCATCTTCAGGACTTTTCCTCAGTGTTTGAGATTTAAAGCGACGAGTCTCTTGCGCTCAAAACCCACTGAAGTTCATAACCACAAAGCATACACAGAAGACATCTACAGCCCCTGTCCAAAGTGTTTGGCACTCTCTTCCATAGATATGAAAGGTCTTCTTCTCACACAAGAGTTTTTCTTCTTCTTCGAGACTTCCAGTGGAAAACTGTATGAATAGCTTTTACAGTAAATAGGCCTACGTATAATCCTTGTATGAAGCTTTAAAACATTAATACATCATCTCTCTTCTTTCTCTACAGACAAGTCTGCTAGTTAGTGCTGATCCTTCTTCCCTCAACCGATGCTGTGGCCGCGGCGGTCAGTGTAGACTGAATGGCTTTTTCTGAAGGGGATGGACATAAACCCCAGATCAACGCGCGGGTGATGCGCCTCACTGGAGCTCTGTGATTGGACAGACTGGCGCGTGGTGGAGGGACGCTGAACATTCCGTTCTTGTGGGAAAATAATTCTGTATCATAGTGCTTATTTATTACATGGCCATATCAGCAATAAAAAAGACCAGTGTTACTCAAATATTTTTAAATATTTTATTGCCAGTTGTTTTTTTTTTAATTAAAGTTCTCTTACACAACAATAACTGCAGTAACTGAAATTTTGGACGGACACTGTGGTTACCATGGTTTATTTCTGGCCTAAAAATATTAGAACAGACTGAAACCCCATTTTGCCCAATCGAGGCTTCAGTTGGGAATTTGAGATAAAAAGAGACACAGCAGTGGCTTCAGTTTTCAGGTCTGAGGGGGTTTTGAGTAACGTCGTAAAACTCAGCATGGGGTCAGTTCAGACTTCAGAGAGAAACAAATGGAGACTTCCCTCGCATACAATGACCAGAGCGCTTCAAAGAATGACCGAGAAGAAGCGGGATAGAGTAAAGAAGAGATGGTGTTCAATTAATTCGTCGCTGATTCGTTTCGCTTTTTCCTTTCGTTCATGGTGTCAACAGGCCTTAATGACTGAATGACTGAAACTGTGAGTATATAGGGAACTATATAGGGAACTGCTGGAGTAAATATAAAGCGCTTCTTTATTGAAGTAGCCCTGAGAATATTTCATTCTCGTTCTTTCTATCTTTGCTGACAGTTTGTTAATTTTTTTTAATGTCGACTTTAAGAATTAGATAGGTCTATTAGCTAAACCTCGAAACTTTTGACCGATTAACATGGCAGCCAGTTTCCCCTAAAATAACGCAGCTTCTGTAGAAATAACTGGAATCTATGAATAAAGAGCTATGCCTTTTAATGTTATTAGTGGCACAAATCCCATTTTGTTTTTGTTTGATCTATTTGATATGTTTAATAAACATGATCAAATTATTATATTAAGTTGTAAAGGGGTTAACAACTTTTAGTAGACCAGGTAATAAAACAATTGTTAATTTTGTGAGTTGTGAAAATTATGTGATCTAGGACCTTTATACAGTGTGTGCCATTGTAAAAACTGTACGTTTACCCCCCACGGCCTCGTTTTCATCCGCGCAAAATTTTAAATGGCATCTACATAGGCTACAGTCTAAATAATAGAGCTGAATTTATTCATAAAACAGTACATGAAAAGGACTCAGAGGAACTACTGTTCCCCAATTGTAAGTCGCTTTGTATAAAAGCGCCTGCAAAATGACTAAATGTAAATGTAAAAGTAAACTACTACGCCTCCAAGATTACAAAGTGGGAATCTGGTGGGCACTTTACTATCCCATGAGGCCATGCAAAAATTTTTTTAAAATAACAATTTTAATAACAGTTTGAATTCTATGAGTCTTCACCACAACTACAATAATAACGATACAGAGGAGTGATGTTGGTAGAATGCCTTCAGAACAGTTTTTCCAGCTGATGAATGATAAAAACATTGACAGCCCATCAGAATATCTCCAACTTTAAAGAGCTCAAGCAATTAAAGCGATAGACACATGTAATAAACAGATAATAAACGGAACATTATTGTACAATTAAGTAGACGCTAATGTAGTTATCGTTACAGTTAGTTATCGTTCTTGGTGTGAATGGGCCTAAACGAGCCAAAAATAGGTCCACACTTAATGCCAGTTCACATTGAGGATGATAACTATAAAGTTTTTACTATCGTTTGAATTTTACGAGAATAGTGAAGTCCACTCCACAGCTGTAGCAATAATGATACAGACAAACAATTTAATTGGAATCACTTTCAGAAGGATTTTTTGCCCCCAGCTGATAAACAATAAAAACATTGACAGCCATTCAGAATCCAGAAGAGTCTGAGCATTTAAAACAGCAGGCGACCTGACAAAACCGCAATGTGCTTATAATAAACAGAACATTGCTGTTCACGGGTGTGGGCACTATAGTAATGTCTAATAGATAATATAGTTATCACTACAGTTTGTGAACTGTTTTGTAGGAATTAAACACGTGCCAACACCCATGTCAGTGGGTCTTGAGTCATTAACAAGTTTTTACAGTTCACAATCTCTAGTTCGTGGTCAACAACAAAACACGGACAAAACTATAAACCCTCCAGAATTGCAAAGACTTTGGCAAGCTGTTACCAAAGTGTGAATTTGCAGATCACAGCAAAGAAATAATAAAACTTTGATGGGAGATGATTCCACGGCCTGACAACACAGAGACAGGATAAGGGGGTTGGGGAGACTGGAGGGCTTTGTGGTTGTTTGCAGGTTGTTGTGGTTCAGGAACTACCCAACAACAAGTGATTGTCAGGATGTTTTAACCCCCGTCCCTCCCCCTGTCTCTTCTTTTTGGGGGTGAGGGGGGATGCCTAGTTCTACTAAGAGCAAGGTGTCAAGCCCTCCTCCCATTGTTAGCCACACAGAGCAGAGCAGAATTGCCACCATAACCAGCACGTCCCATCTCCTCTCTGCCCCACTGCATGTAGAGACTGGAAGAGGCGCATTCCATCCCTCCATGCCCCCCCCCGTCGTCCACTCAAACGTACCCCTTGGGGTGTTTATGGGTCAGCCAACAGGATGCTCGGCCCATTGAGAGATCAAAGGATTCCCGGTTCAGATAAATGTGGTGTAACTGTGACCTCTTCAACTCTAATAGGGTTTAACACGTCAGGACAGGAGGAGGGAATAAAAGGCTGAGACGTCAGAGAGAAACAGAGACTCGATTTGAGAAAGGAAAAGACATATACAACCTTCGTTTAAGCATCTTGGAGTCAAATTGAAGAGGGAACAAAACAACGTAAGATCAATTATGACACAAATGTTTAAGTTGACTTTTTTAGGGGGGAAAAAGTAACTATAATAATTAACTTCATCTTGCTCAATTTATCAGAAAACAGGGCTTCATATGTTCAATTTGCAACACAGGTAATTGTATCTTGATTTAAGAACATTTACATATTTGTATTAGAAAACAAAACAAACATACTGAGGAAGATTATTTAATGCCATGATGCTATGAATTTAAGATCTTCTGCTCCAATTTAGGACCTATTTAGGCCTCAAGTTGTGGAAGGGCAGATCAAGACTTTTAGACCTTTTTAAAACCCGCATATTTTAAAAATGGGCATATTTTAGAAATAGACATATTAAAAAAATAACAAAAATGACTACAATAAAATCTATAACAGTATCTCAATTAAACTAAAATAACACTGATGAAAAGCCACAACTCAAGTCAATTTATACAGACTGATATATTTAATTTAAAGAAACCATATACATTTACACAATCACATCACTCACTCAAACTGGCTGTGAAACATAAATGGGCAGTATGCGTTCAACAGAGAATGGCTGTTTACATCTCTTTTGAAGCCATTATTTGTTCGAACAGACATGAAGCTTACCATAATTCATCCTATTCGACATCATAGTTACTGCATAACAAGGATTGTGGCATGGTTTAGACGCAAACATTTCATAAAAACAGGACCTAATCTCTTATGGCTTCAGTTTTCCAACAAAAATGAAACTTTATCATTAGGTCTTCAAGACTAAACTCAAACAAGAGTGTGTGTGCAAGGGTTTGTGCATGTGTAGCGGGGAAACACAGTAAAAAATGAGTGATCGTGACACAGAGGACAATGTCATATTGAAGGAATAATTCACTGAAGAAAATAAAAACTCTGTCATCATTTACTCCCCCCTCATGTCGTTCCAAACCTGCATGACTTTTTTTCCTTTATGGAACACAAAAAGAGGATTTAGAAGATTCATTCTGGTTGCTCTCATTCATGCAATTAAAACGAATGCTGACTAAAGCTTCAAAAGAACCAGATAAAAAAATGATCCATACTGCTCTATATTTCACTTCTGAACTCATACGGTAGCTTTGAGTGCGGAATTTTGAGTCATTAATCATGAACATGAACAAATCGTTCTTTTGAGTTGGAACTTTGCAATGAATAATCTCATTCACAAAGCCTGAATGATTCGTTCATGAATCAAACTGACTCTGTGTTCTGGTCACAGCAGTTAACAGCTCACCTGAGGGGAAGAATTTGAGCAAATAACACCTTAAATATAAGTTTATTACTCACACGAATGACTTCAGAAAACTTGCAAGTTGTATGGACAACTTTTATGGTGCTTTTGTGTCCAAAAGACTCAGTGTTCATTCACTGTAGTTCAGCAATCAGCACAATTACTTGCGTTCAACAGAAGAAAGAAAGTCATATGAGTTTAAAACAACACAAAGGTGAGTAAATACTGGAAAAAATATATATAATTTCCAGGTGAACTATTCCTTTAAACAGTGTATAACTGCTGGCCATTGTGCTCGGTGCTTCCCTTTGTCTCTGCTGGCTTTGCTATCCAGCGCAGAGCAGCAGAATTAACACAACCATCCCAGAGAAGCCAGCAAGATGTGTCCTCTGCTCTCTCACCCCAATACCCATGTGTCGCACAGACACCACTCACACAGCACAGCCTTCAAAGCATTCAGTGCGAGAGAGGAAAAAACAAAAACATCTAGACAAAAAATTCCAATGGGAACATAGACAGAATTGTGGCCCCAGCCAACAAACACATTCACAGGACAATTAAGACTAGCTGGTTTATGGTCCACATATTACAAATAGTTCCATAATTACAGTGAAGAACAGTAGAGGCACTTTGCAGAGTTAAAAATGGATAAAATTCCTGTTAAGATTTCGATTTTCGGTAAATGAGTTTATAAGCATAGCACATTAAGCAGCATGTAAGGATGTGCTGAAACCATATCGCAACTATTATATGAAAAGAAGCCAAAAGCACTTTTATATCAAGTGCAATTTATGCCCATTTTAGAAGTGCTGCCCTACAGTGGAAGAACACACACGTAAATGCACTCATTGTCTTATTCACGTTTAAGAGTATTTTTGTAATGGCTGTGCAAATCCATGGCAGGAAAGGCACTTCCTTTTTATAATGAAAAACAGGATATGAAGATTTACACAGTGCCAGAAAGATAAAGGTGTGCCAAACTGCCAATATTGAAAAAGCAGTTTTGATCAGCAGGGCCTAATTAAGTAAATAGATAGTTCACCCCAAAATGAAGATTTTGTGATCATTTGTGGTCATGTTGTTCCTAAACTTTATTACAAAAGAAGATTTTTTTTTTTTTTTTAATCTCTGTTTCTCTAACCATAAAATGCATTTTTGGACCCTACTGAATTTAAATAAAAACTATATACAGTATATATATATATATATATATATAATGTATTATGCATGTCATTTTTTTTTCTTTTTTTTTCAGGAAAAAGTCAGTCATACAGGTTTGGAACACCATGACAGTCAATGATGACAAAATGATCATTTTCAGGTGAACTATCCCTTTAATACATTTCATGCAATAATCCATCATAATTATGGACATTTATATTGTTTACCTGTTTTAAGGCACCAGAGGTACTGAATAAAGACTCAAGACTTAGTAGGGCTCAAAGCGCTTCACATCATTAAACAAGTATAAAAAAAATTGTGTTCTAATTTAGGCGTCACATTAATTATTGCGTTATACAAAGTGAACCGTGTAAAGCGATACAAACACCTACACCCACATACATACACAGAGCTGAAATGTCTCTGTTGGTGCCTGTCCCATGGAAAAATCTGGCTTCATTGACGACATTGCTCAATATAAGAATATAAGAAGGTTTTCCAGTGTCAGATGGAGTACCAGTGTTGCTGTGCTGAGCGCGATCAGCAGAACAAAAGCAAAAATCAGCATAGGAAGATCTACTAGACTATAAAACGGCTCAGGTGATGACGGTTTGTCACTTAGTGACAGAGACTAAGTCCATCACGCTGAGCTTCAGTGCCTCGGGCTCAGTGCTCCAGCCAGTCTGTGATTCACAGGACAGAACATACTGCTTTTAAAAAGTTCAGTCTTAGCCGTCAACACTTAAAAAGTTTGCAGGCGACTGCCTGATTCGCCTGATCAAAAATCTTTGGAATGTTTGTTTGTTAAAAGCAGTATAAATCATTGCATTTTCGAGAAGAATTCTCGTTTTCCCTTTTTGTAAAAAGGTGCACGTTTGGATGTTCACCACTTGTGTTGCCTTTATGCTCTCTTGTTCCCAAGCTCTCTGTTTTAGAAGGGAAGGAAAGCGGCCGAGCGGTGCAGGAGAGCTGACGCTATCGTCTCTTGTGGATGCAAAGGTTTTGCTGAAGGCATGTGAGGCTCATTTAGCAGAAGGCTCGACGGGGTTGTATTCGGTCTCTCCTGAGGACACCTGGGAGATTCTGCGTGTGGAGCCCCACAGTCGGCGGGAAAACTGCCCAGACCGCACCTGAATTAAGACAGAGGTTTAAATATAGAATTTTTTAGGCCTTGAGAAAAGAATTTGTTGACACAAAATTAACATCTTCAACAAAGGGAAGGTCATTTTTTTTTTTTGTAACATGATACAGTACTTGACCCAATAGTTAACAACATGCAATAACTTTTTAATCATTTTCAGCATTTATTAATCTTGGTTAATATTAATTGCTTCATGCACATTTTAAAAACATTTTAGCATTACATAAATAACATAATAGTATATTTTAGGAATAATAGTATATTTTGAATAATAATAATAGTATAATTTTATATATAAAATTATATAAAAAATATACAGAAAATATACAAATATATATATAAATATACAATTTTTTTCTTTTACAGTTTCTATAATATTTACTATGGAAGCTTGTTTCTGCCACTGAATAAAAAAAAAAAAAGTGAGATAAAAATACTTTTTATCTCACAATTCTGACTATTTTTCTCAGTATTGTATGATACAAACTCACAATTGTGTGTTACAAAGTCAGAATTGTGAGATATAAAATGGTAATTCTACCATTATAACACGCAATTGCATATAAATGTGCCTATTAACATTATGATGAACTAATAACACTATAACCTCACAGAAGTGACAGTTCCATGGGTCATTCTTTGAAAAACGTGATGTGACAGAAGTAGTGACAAAGTTTTTCTTAAGTATTGTTATGTACATCCGAGTGTAACAAATTTTCGAAAAAGAAAAAATTTCATTTTTGTAATGTTCCCTCAATATTTACTACTTATGCAATAGTTTTCTAATTGTGACACTTATAATGTAGCAGTAAATTGTTTTAAAAATGACTACTTTTTAGTGGTGTAAATTATGTAATATTATCAGCATTATGATGTACTAACAGTTCAGCAGCATGGATTTGATTTAAATCAGTAAAGACCTACTGGCAAACCCCTCAACCTCACCTCCTCCGGTTTTCCTGCTCCCACCACAATGAGTTTGCCATCCTCCAGGCCCACCAGAATATGACTGCTCTCTTTCGTGACAGACACAGAGCGAACAGGGACCTTCAGGGCCAGGGGCGCCACAGCCAGACTCAAGCTACACACACGCGAAGACATAGAAAAAGAGACTTGGGAATGAAAAGCAAACATGGACCCAGCTGCTGAAGATTTACTGTGATGACAGAGGATTTATTAAGAATGCATTTACTACAATGGAGAAAAATAAATAAAATTAAAGAATATAATCAAACAGGTCATGCTAAACTGAGCAACTGTACGCCTACACTACTTTTTTTTTATTTTATTTTTTTAAAGAAGTCTCTTATGCTCACCAAGGCTGCATCTGTCTGATCAAAAATACAGTAAAAACAGTAATATTTTTAAAATATTATTGCAATGTTTTCTATTTTCTATTCAAATGTCATTTATTCCTGTGACGGCAAAGCTGAATTTTCAGCATCATTACTCCAGTCTTCAGTGTCACATGATCCTTCAGAAATCATTCTGATAGGCTGCTAAATAAACATTTTTTATTATTATCAATGTTGAAAACAGTTGTGCTGTTTAATATCTTGTGGATACGTTAATACATTTTTTCAGGATTTTTTTTGATGAATATAACATTCAAATCAACAGCATTTATTTGTAAGTCTTTACTGTAATTTTGGTCAAATCAATGTGTTCATGCTAAATAAAAGTACTAATTTCTTTCCAAAAATACATAAAAATGTAAAAAGTAGAAAATACTTGCCACGAACTTTCAAACAAGGTGTACAGTACATTTAAAACGACCATACCTGTACAACTCTCGAATGTGAAGGTTCCCCTGTTGTGTGCCCACGATGAGGTAGTCAGGCACCAGATGCAAAGCTGAAATCTTCTCGTCCAACGTCTCAGATGCTAAGAGAGTGCCATTCACAGAATACACATGCAGTGCGTACTTCTCCTACAGCCACAAAACTATGTGTTAATTTCCATTCTCACAATAACTCAAAAAGAATTGTTTCTTTTGACAAACATTGTCAATCAGCACCTTTCCAGCAGAGCGGCCCTCCATAACAGTCTGTGCCACTATGTGCCCTTCTATGCCGACCTCCAGCTGTGCCACAGGGGCAGGAAGGCAGCTCTCACACGGCGGTCTCAGGGTAAGCAGGTACTGTCCACGACGCACACTGTGCATGATCACTGTGCCATCCTGAGCAAAAGAAAAGAGAGCATGTGAGAGAAAACTCATGAACACTAATGGCAATGCAGTAACTTCTGAAGGGACTTTTAAGAAGTGGTCTCATCTAAACTGACCTTTGACCCTGAGATTGCCATGTCCAACTCGGTGCTGATGGCGACACACGTGACCTCTTGATCATGTCCACAGAGCACCTGCACGGGCCGTGGAGACAGACCGCTAGAAAAACCACCCTACAGGTAAAAAAAAAAAAAAAAGACAATATACTCTGATTCAGTCACTAGTTATACTACATAACCATGCTGACTATTTTTTCTCTAATTCAGGTAAATAACGCTTCAAGTTATTATTCAAGTAAATAAAAAACACATAATTCCCAAAACACTTAGCACATAAAAGCACATAATTCAAGAAAACATCCTGATATTACACACTAAATATAAAAGATATATTTGCCCACATTAAGGTCTAAAGCACAAATTTGATATTTTGATACATCAGATCTCTTTTCCTGGCTATTTACACTACTATTCAAAATGCTGGGGTCTGTGCAATATATTTTTTTTATTATTTTTGAAAGTCTCTGATGCTCAACAAGGCTGTATGGATTTGATAAAAAAAATACAGTAAAAACAGCACTCTTGTGAAATATTACTACAATTTAAAATAACCTTTCTATTTCTGTTTTCTACAACTTTCTATGTTTTAAATATTTAAAAATGCCATTTATTCCTGTGATGGCAAAGCTGACTTTTCAACAGCCATTACTCCAGTCTTCAGTGTCACATGATCCTCCAGAAAGCATTCTAATATGCTGATTTGCTGCTTTACTGTCACTTTTGATCAATTTAATGTGTCGTTGCTTAATAAAAGTATTAACATCTTAAAAAAAAATCTTACTGACCCCAAACTTTCGAATGATAGTGTACGTTCAGTTCAAATTAAATGACTGCTCATGGGGCACAGATGTACCCTTCACACCCTTTTATTTGTGTATTAACTTGGTATCTAATTATAAGTATTTTGAGTGAGCAAACCTGCTGTAGGACCTGCCACACCATGCAGGTGGTGTCTCGTGAGCCAGAGATGAGGTAGATACCACAGAGATCCAGAGCCAGGCACGTGACCACATCTACATCCCACAAAAATGCATCATAACATTTATTCATAATCAAATGCATTATATAATCAGCAATGTGCACCATACATTTTCTGAAGATCTGAAATCAATAGGGAGCTGTTAATTGTTAACACTATAAAGCCTACTGTATCATATTTGATACACACATTTCTAAGGCCTTGACATTATCAACATGGCCAAAGCTTTGCTAAAAACCTGATGCACACAATCTACTACATGCCTTCTGCACTTTATACTTTTTAGCAAGTGAAAGGCCTTTTAGTATAATTCTAAAAATGTCCACCTTCAGGTCATGGTTCACGTTTTCTTTTCTTTTTTTCATAACTTTACATTGTTAGTAACTGGACTAATCAAACTTAGGTTTACTTGATTATCCATACATCATTTCCCCCCCCTTTTTTTTTTTTTTTTAGAAAAATCATGTTAAAATGTGAATATCAAATATGATCCATCAGGCTTTTGAGGAATGTTTATTTGTACATCTCTCAATCATCATGGTATTGTAATTGCTTTTTATCCCCCACAATAAAAACTACAGAGCTTTGATCATAAAACGAAGCATTTAAAGATCATCTTAAAGACATATTATTGGGAGATATAGAGTGACAACTGATTTTAAATGCATTTATGTAGGTAGCCTGCTATACTATTTATAAAAATCTTATTGATTTATATTACAAGCTATCAGAATTTCATCTTATATTTTTGGCCATATAAATATCAGCAACTGCACCATATTGCATATTTTTGCTCAGTTTGGGACTCATATTATATGAGCCATAAATGCCTGATGTATCAAATATTACAATCATCAAAAACATTCACAAATTTATATATTTTTTTTTTACATTTTGTCGTATTTCAGGCTTTACAGGGTTAATGCTTCTGTTTCAGCAACAAATGATTCAACAAACATCTCTGCCAAATCTGACAGCAGCTCATTTTATTTAGGATTCAGCTCAACAACTCCGTCAAGCTCATTCCAACGCCTACAGCTGCGTCTTGGCTCTGTATTATTTCAGTACGTCTGTGTCGGACAGACGGCTCTCACCTATGTGACGGCAGATCCTGCCCACCAGCTTGGCCTTGCCTAACATAGTGACCCGAATGCTGCAGTCCCAGTGCCCCCCGCTGAACAGCAGACGCCCGTCAGTGGACACCACCAGCACCTGGGACCCGATTTCCACCCCTGGGGAGAACGGCCCGCTGAGGAACCGCTGGGTCCTAAAAACAGATCAGACAAAAGGTTAGTACCAACAAATGGGACTAAACTTGTCAGTGGGAGAGCATTCGAAATAGATCAATGTTCTGTTTAAGCATCAGATTCGACACATGTTAGCAGACCACTCAAAAATAACAAGAAAGGCTTGGCAAAACAAATTAGCTTTTACAACAAAGGACTCAATTGGACTGAAGAACATTTATAGAGACCAAAGAAGCCAAACCACCAGAGCTTAATGTCAAAGAGCTGCTGCTTATAAGCTGCTTTTGATTATTTATCCAAAGACCAATGTTGTCACTATAAAAATAACTTTCTGCCTAATCAAAACCTCTCGTCTTTAAAACTATATGACATCACTAAGTCTCCGAACATGATTATATAATGTGTTTAGACATGTGTACATGTTCAAACTTACTTTGGGTTGCTCACAGAGGGGTCTCTGGTGAAGGTGAAATAATTAGCTATGTTCTTGTCGTAGGGCAGCCAGCTATGAGTGCCTATCATTCCATTAGCACTCACTGTCACCTATAACAGGACAAATGCCATTCAAAACACATTCGGATGCAGCTATCTGTTCTGCAACAAACATATTGATGTCAGGAAGTCTTAAATATGATCTGTGAAGGGCCCACTTCCTAAAATATATGCAGAGTGAAAACAATATTGAGTGAGACAGACAAAATGTTGTTGCCAAATTTTTTTTTATAATATTTAAATAAAACAATTTTAGAGTTCTTATATTGGCACTGTACTAAAGACAAAGCAAATAATTATAATATTATCTGGATTTTTTTTTTTGTGTGTGTTAAAGGGATGGTTCACTCAAAGATGAAAATATGACCCGTATGAATTTATTTCTTTTCCTGAAAACAAAAGATATTTTGAAGAACGTGAGTAACCAAACAGTTGATGGGCCCCGCTGACTTCCATAGTACTTTTTTTCCATACCATGGAAGTCAATGGGGATCATCAACTGTTTTTTTTTTTTTTACCCACATTCTTCAAAATATATTCTTTAATGTTCGACAGAAGAAAAAAAAACTCACACAGATTTGGAACAACTTCGGAACAAGGGAGAGTAAAAGATGACAGAATTTTCATTTTTGGGTGAACTATCCCTTTAAGCCAACTATTACAGTAATCTTTCATGTATAAACCTTGAGAGTACAATACGAACTCATAAGAGGTCTCTTACCCTCATAAGTGCAGTAGTAGAAGACATTGAGAGCCTCCACCGCTTCAGGTCCTCGCTGCTTATACCCGAAAATGAGATCGATCCACTCGTGCAGGTGAGCAGACACATGCTCACTCTCCTTTAAACACACAGATACACAAGGAGAGTGTGTCAGATAAAGAACAAAAGAGTGTGTGTTTTAAAAGCATTTTTTATATTGCCATTGCTAATTTGCAGTCTGAATTGAATGTGATGACATAAAAAGTCTATTATAATAATTTTAGAATAGTTTTGTTTGCTGGTTGCATCCAAAAACATAGCACAAATGTTGTCTGATTCACAAGCAAATGACTTCTATGAGCTGATTCTTTTAAAGGAATAGTTCACTCAAAAATGATCTTAAAACAGCTGATAAAAACATAACAATAATCTACAAGTAATCCACACGACTGCAGCCCATCAGTTAACATCGTGAAAAGCTGCATGATTGTATTAAATAAATTGATCAATAAGACATGTAGTCCTTTATCCATAATATTGCTTTATCAGGAGAGATATATATGCACAGATAAAACACCGTTTACAAGTGAAGAGAGTTGATTGATTTGTTTTCTTACAAACATGCAGCTTTTCACTTAACTGATGGACTTGAGTCATGTTGATTACTTGTGGATTATAGTGTTGTTTTTATCAGCTGTTTGAACTCTCATTCTGACGGCACCCATTCACTGCATTGGTGAGCAAGTGATGTAATGCTAAATGTCTCCAAAACTTTCTGATGCAGAAATAAACTCATCTATCTCTTGAATGGCCTGAGGATGAGTACATTTTCAGCAAAATTAAATTTTTGGGTGAACTACTCCTTCCACAAATAACTCAAAAAGAAGTTTGAATCAAACTAACAACTCACTTGAATTTGCCGGAGCAGTTACTGAAACATCTGACTCACCCACTCGATTTATAAGATGGTTAGTAAATAGTATTTTAAGAGTATTCTGTATTTTACAAAACATATTTACAAAAAAAATGTGTTGTTGTGTTTAGTATCTATGTTTTGAAATCAGTGCATTGTATCTGTTTCCACACCAAAGCTTTGCGGTGTTTCCTGATGAAGTCTTCAGGCGAAGACGCCCAAGGAGGAAGTAACACATCATTGACTTTCTCTTGACTTATTTGCAAGCAGCCCAGATCAAAACCTGCACACGACATATTACAATTCAAAATCCATTGAACAAATTGCAGTGCCGGTGTGGTTTTCATCACTGAGAAGTTACAGAGAGACACACTGACCGTTCATGTTCTGCAGGAACTCTGGGAAGTAGAAGAACTCCGGGATGAGCTCCTTGACATCAGCTGGACTCTCCATCCGCGCCTGCCACGCTGCTGCTACTGAATGAAACTGTCTATCGGCACAATCAAACCTAAACACACACACAATCACACTTATAAGTGCAGCCCAAACATAGGACAATGTACATGATTACTTAACCATCAGGAAAACAACACTGCAACCTAGTGGTTAACGCTAAGGGGTGCCAAATTAAAATATTATTAATATATTCACATTTTGATTGTGGCGATCCACGTTCCTGTATGGATACTTAGTGTTATATTTTTGGAGTATTAAAACCATTCAACTAACTTGAACTATCAGTTAGAAGGCATTTTATTTAATGACTTTATAAAGATTTTAGAGTCAAATTTCCATTTGTGCCTCAGGTACCCTTGGAATGAATAAACAAGCACACATTTTGTGTACAAAAGTATCCAGTAGTTCAAAAGAAATCCTAAAATACAAATGTGTCCGAAAGCAGAATTCAGCACACGCCCTTGAGCAGGGGTGTTCAATCCTGCTCTTGAAGGGTTAACATCCTGCAGAGTTTAGCTCTAACCTGCCCCAACACACCTTCCTGTAAATTTCTAGTAATCCTGAAGACCTTGAATAGCTGGTTCAGGTGTGTTTGAGTTAAAGGTGGCCCTCCAGGAGCAAGATTGGACACCCCTGGCTTTAGCTGTCGTGTGCGAGTATGTGTGTCTTACTTGCCGCTCTGGAGCTGTATATGTAATGAGGTGAAGGGCTCTGTGCGGATCATGTAGTGCATGACGCCGGCAGCATTAGAGTAGTGTGTGCCATAGTGGAACTTATCGATAGTGCCTGTTGGGTCCTCAAAACTCTCATACCTAATCAAACGACAACAAGAAGACATTTAGAAAATCAGATGAAATACTCAAAAGATTCTACATTACTCTGCTTTATATTATTATAGAACATTCTGTTATTATTTACAAATGTGAATATATTTATCAATATCATGTAGATATCGGCTTGTGGTATTGTTATCCATTTTTCTAGTTTTGTTACACATTCTTTGATACCGAGAATTCTGCAATTAGGACTGCAACACTGTCTCACTTTTCCCTGACGTTCTGTGCATGTCGAGGGTTGACGACACCAATGGGTTTGGACAAATCTCTGAAAACAGCTGGGTCCTCCAGATCCAATTTAGCAGATGTGTAGTCACACAACACCCAGGGGAACTGAGAATACAGACATGCACATGAAGAAATGAGAACATATGTGACCCATTCACCAACACCAAAAGTGTCAGTCATGCACATTTGCATTTTTCTTTTCAGCAAAATGGATATTAAATGCATATTAATCACCCATTTTAAATGAATTCAATGAAATCTTGGTTTACTAAAATAAATATTACATTTTTAAAAATGAAATCAAAGACTGAAAAACTAAACTAAACTAAAAACATAAAATAAAATAAAATAAATTAAATCCGAGATTCTGGGTAGGCCATAGCATCCCCACGACACTGCATATGACAAGCGGTTTGGAGAAAAACAAACAAACAAACAAACAAATAAAAAAAACAAATCAAAGAAAACAAAACATGACAAACCAAATAAAAACAAAACACAAAACATGACAAACCAAACAAAAAAATTTCAAAACAAAACCAAAACAACGCTAGCTCTGTGAGAACTCACCACTGGATACTGGGATAAATCATTGTATGTGCGACCAGCAATGGTGTTGAGCTGCATCAGATATTCAAAATTGGAGATTTCTCTGCAAACCCATCTCTGCAATAGGAACAAAAATGAATATAAAGAATAGTTATATTTGGAAAATTTGGGGGGGTTTTTTGACAGCTTTTATTGGCAGATACAGTATAGAAAGGCATAGAAAACTATGGGGGAAATGGGAGGAAAGAGGAAACCAGCAACCAGCAAAAATGGAAAATATTGGCATCGCATCAGACATACGTGAGTCAGGTTGGAGGCTTTTAGGAGCTCCTGAGGAGAGCGAGAACCAAAGTAGAACAGATTGGGTGGTCTGAGACCCAGGATCCTGGAGTAGACTTTGTTCCGCACCTGTGGGAGAACCCAAACAAATATAAAAACACACACCTCAAATGCCACTGATGCTTGTGGCCATATTTTCCACTGTAGCTTCTCCTGCAGTGCGACAGTTATTATGTGTCCAGCTCACCCCCTTCCTGAAGTTGATGAAGTAGTGTGCCTGGTCGATGAAGAACAGCTCTAGTGCTGATCTCCGCAGGTTGTAGCGCCTCAGGTGGACTTCCCTTAGCTGTGACAATGACCTCTTGAAATCAAAACCAATTCCTGCAAAGATGGGCAGTCCACAGCATTCACATTATAATCATGAATCATTTCTTATCCTATACACTACCAGTCAAAAATCTGGAATAATTACGATTTTGTTAATGTTTTTGAAAGAAGTCACTTATGCTCACCAAGATGGAATGGGATATTGATGGAAATATTGTAAAATATTATTACAATTTAAAAGAAAGTTTTCTATTTTACTATATTTCAAAATGTAATTTATGTTATGGCAAAACGTCTCTGGGTTACGTATGTAACCATGGTTCCCCGAGGGAACGAGACACTGCGTCGAGATTCGCTTTAACTGCTCTTAGCGAGAGAGCTTCCCCTAAGCCCACAGAAGGATCTGGTGCGCCAGCTTGTACAAGGGGCACGAACGCAGACCCCCCTGCCGATTGATGTAGGAGACCACCGATGTGTTGTCTGTGCGGACAAGCACATGATGTCCCCTTAGGTCTGGAAGGAAGTGTGTCAGAGCTTGAAACACGGCCAGCATCTCCAGGCAGTTAATGTGGTCACGCAGGGGCGTTCCAAAAGCGAATCTCGACGCAGCTCGAGTTCCTGAAGGGGAACTGAATTTTTAGCAGCCATTACTCCAGTTGTCAGTGTCACATGATCCTGATTTCTGAAGACGGCTGCAAAAAATTCAGCTTTGCTATCAACAGTAATAAATTATACTTTAAAATGCATTAAAATAAAAAAAGAGTTATTTTAAATTGTAATAATATTTCACAATAATATTGTTTTTACTGTATTTGTGATTGAATAAATGCAGCCGTGGTGAGCATAAGAGACTTCTTTCATAAAACATAAAAAAAAAAAATATTATTTCAAACTTTTGACCAGTAGTGTACACGCATTCATTATGTGAACAATGAATGGCGGCGCTATGACGGGATATACTTCGCAATACAAGCTGTTACTCACCTTCCTCGGTCTCCTCTTTCTCACTACTGCCATCATAGAAGTACAGGTGGTGCGTTGTGACCTCCAGACGACCTGGTACCACGGCAACAATAGTGATGAGCTCACAGTCCTCTGAGAGCACCAGCTTTTCTTTTTGGCTCTCCTCCTCGCCCTCCTCCGCCCTGAGGAATGACACACGCACAAACACACAGAACCACACCCTGCTGAACACACACTCGATCACACTAAACCCATCTCAAAAGCTGTACACACAAAGCCTTTGCAGGTATCAAAAAGGATGAATCTTCAGTCAAATTATTCATTCAAAAACACTGATTCAGGAACAAAACACTACTACTGTGCGCTGCCTGGAACGTGTAACAGTTGATTCTGCTTTGACTTCATTGAGGAACTATTTTCAGTATGAATAAACAGACTAAACAGACGTTTGTGAACTAAAACTATTAAAAAATATGTTTGGTAATTGAAATAAAGCTGAAATTAAATCAAATGAAAAACTTAAATGAGAAAAACAAACAAAAATGAGAAATGTTGCTTTGGCAACTAACTGAAATAAGTTGATGTATAAAAATTACTACTGAATTAAAACTAAACAGAAATATTACAAATAAAATAATAAACATGCAACAAAATTACTAAAACTTAAAGTAAAAATAAAATTAAAACTGAACATATGAAAATAGATCTAATTCAAAATATCAATAAATACTGTAACTTTATATAAATAATACTAAAATAACACTGGCAAGTTCCTCAATATTAACTTCTTGTTTATTAAACTTACTGGGCCGTGCGGATATTCAGAACAACCTAGTTCAGATTTTGAAAAAGGATGAGCTACATTTGAAGCCATCATAAACTGCAGAAAAAATACATATTAAGTGAATGTGCTTATTATTTGTTGGAAGAATTGTTTATTCTCATTATTATTATTATTATTATATATAAACTATTTTTTTTTCAATTAGGTATCATATTGCTGTTGTTGATGTTTGTAAAAGTAACAAGCCACTCAAGGAATATTTGAGGCAAATAATGGTTTTACATAATATCTATTTTAGGGCTATTAATTAAACTGTAGATTAGGGATGTAACGATTTTTTTTTCTCACGATTTTTTAACAAACTGAGATTTAGGTGTCCTTTTATTTATTTTAGATTTAGGTGTCCTTTTATTATTTCTCAGAAAAAAATGCCCCACATTTCTTTGTGAAATTGAAATGTGTCACATAACAAAACTAAATTGAAATTTGAAAACAAATCCCAAATCAAATAAACAACAAAATACAAATAAAACCTCTTCACATAAACAAAGTCTTTGCCTGTGCTCTTTCCATTTCAAATTAGAGGCGACCACAGCATTTGAATCACGATCCAGAGATGCTGCATACATGCAGCATGAGCAGTTTTTGATATAAATTAGATTGCATAATTTCGACATTTGAAGCAAAAACAGAACGGTCTGATGTTAGCTTTGTGAAACTATATATTACATAAAACATCTGCACGAAACGAAAACAGCAGACGGGCTGAATGAGAACACAGATTCACTCTCTGACAGCAGGTGATGCTTATGGAACAGCAGCGATACAGCGTTTCCTTGGTTACACAGAGGCAAGATGAAAAGAAAACACCATCTAAACTTTTCTAAAGACAGTCAGCAGTTCCCCTCAGAGATACGTTCATATAAACCCCCACCCCCTAACTATATCGCGATTCGTTTAACATCTCAACTGACTTAAATCGTCACATATTTTTATAGATTTTCAGTGGCTCGGGGTGCATCATTACATCCCTACTGTAGATATTAATTATACTATTTACTATTATACTATTATAAACTATTTTATTCTTTTGCTAATCTATTTTATTAACATACTTAGTTTTAAATGCATGAAAATATGCCTTTATATTTTGAGCATATATTTATTGTCTTTCTATATCTTTTTATTTTACAAGTTTGAAATCTCTTGGTTTAGATAACTTACTTAACCAAGCAAATGAGTGCTCAGAGTTACATTAGGACACTCACTCATCAATGAAGGCAATATCCTCATCCTCTAGTTTGTCATCCTCCATGTCGCTAACTTTAGCTTCCTTGGCAACTGCAAGCGGGATGGGCTCGGTTGAGCTGCGGGGACTGTCGGCTCCTGCAGAAAAAACACCCAAAACACTCCAACATATAAACATTAACACTGAAATGACAGAGAGTTCAAGAGGACAGAGATTATTTGAAAATATCTAGTCAAAGCAAAATGATTTTACCAACAGATCTATTACTCACCATTGATTTTCTTTAATATCATTAATTCATTAATATTCATTTAACAGATTACAGAGGCATTCTCCACATTGATACTAACCCATGTTATCTCTCAGTGCACTGGCATCACTGTGGGAATCAAAGCTGTAATTTGGCACCAGCTTCAGACGCATCTTAGAGTACGTCTCTGCACTTGACAGTTTCCATTTCACCTCTGGCTGAACCCTGAAACACAAACACTTCCACTCAGTCCATCATCATACACCGCAATATAATCCCTGAATATACAGCATCAGTGTATACAACTGAACCTCACTTCAACACAGTGAGCTACAAAAGACAGAAAAAGTCTGACTGCTTCTGCTTGGGATTTTTATCATATATTTTAGTGACCCAGAATTAGAGAAAAATCTTAATATTAAATGTTTTATTTGTATTTTTTAAATCCCCCGAAATCTATATTTTTCCAGGTTTAAATGAAATTTTAAATCCCAGATTTCCAATGTAGTCTCAGGTTTTTAGCCATCACTTTAAAGCTTATTTATCTTAAAGGAATGGTTTGCCCAAAAATGAAAATTGGCTGTTAATTTGCTCACCCTCGGGCCATCCAAGGTGTAGGTGACTTTCTTCCTCAGAAGAACAGTAAAGAAGATTTTTAGCTTAAACCATGGTTATAAAATGCAAGTCAGCGGCTACCGTCACTTTGACAGTCAAAAAAGCAACACACAATTATTACCAGTGGCTCCTGATGATATAATATTGTAAATAATGTTCACTTTCTTGCAGACCAATAATTTCTTTTCATAAGACCTCAGTATATTGTCAGGAGCCATGGGCATTGGTTTTGTGTTGCTTTTTTGCAACCAAGGACCACGGTTTCAACTAAAAATTTTCTTTAATGTACTAAAGAAAAAAGTCAACTACACCTTGAATAACATGAGGGCGAGTAAATTAACAGCAAATTATCCCTTTAAACTATCCCTTTAAATCTCTCTCTCTCTCTGTATACATATATTAGTGCTGTCAATAAAAAAAGCAAAAACAAAAACGAATTAATCGCACATTTTTCTGAAATTAATCGCGATTAGTCCCACCTAGCATTAAAGTTTTTAAATATACTTTTATATTGCAATAATTTCACATTCAATCTTCAAATTAATGTACAAACAATATAAAGACAGTATATTTTTTAATATTTGTTTACTGGCATCTTTTTTTATGACTGAAGACCAGTATCGATGATACCAATACTGATTTCTCTATAAAATTGCCATTCAACATTACATTATAATTAAGAGTTATCAATTTTAACATTTATTAGACTTTAAAAAATAACTTCTAATTTAAGTTAACTTAAAACAATCTTCACATAAACCCATTATAATAAATGTCATATTTACCTGTGTCCTTCAGCAGAAATACACAGAAATTGAAATTGAAGTTATCAAACACTAAATTCTAAATTAAATATAGATGAATCCTTAAAGCTATAAAAGTTATTTTTTCCCTCTTTTTTTCTTTTCAGCCATTTCAGAGACATGTTCTTAAATGTGACTCATATAAAATATATTACATGCATGCACAGTTTTAAGGCAGCTTTAATCGCATTTTTGGTAACTTCATGACTTAACTGACCACGGCATTGCATGCACATAGTTTATTTCGCGCTTTGATATGAAATGATACAGGCTACAGCGCGCGCCGGCGCCTTTGTGCGTGCAATTGAAGAGTAGGGATGGGCGTATCGATCTGAAGTATCGATATAACGATACTGACGCGAGTATCGATACTCAAACAAAAAATATCGATACTTTAAACTATCCCTTTAAATCTCTCTCTCTCTCTGTATACATATATTAGTGCTGTCAATAAAAAAAGCAAAAACAAAAACGAATTAATCGCACATTTTTCTGAAATTAATCGCGATTAATCCCACCTAGCATTAAAGTTTTTAAATATACTTTTATATTGCAATAATTTCACATTCAATCTTCAAATTAATGTACAAACAATATAAAGACAGTATATTTTTTAATATTTGTTTACTGGCATCTTTTTTTATGACTGAAGACCAGTATCGATGATACCAATACTGATTTCTCTATAAAATTGCCATTCAACATTACATTATAATTAAGAGTTATCAATTTTAACATTTATTAGACTTTAAAAAATAACTTCTAATTTAAGTGAACTTAAAACAATCTTCACATAAACCCATTATAATAAATGTCATATTTACCTGTGCCCTTCAGCAGAAATATTCCTCTCTCACTGCTCAGTAACCTGCGCAGTGATTTCCAGTGCCCCCCCACCACCCCCTGCTGGCTGTTACTCATCTTCTGCACACTGTGGTAGCGGCTGTTCTCTGTGCGCACCCGTTTTAGGTACGGGTCAATAATGAGCTCCTGTAAACAGAAGAACACAAACAGTCCATGTTATTAGCTCATCTATCAGAAACACAAGGTTTGGTTGGGGTTTGGGATGTGTACCGAGTAATCCCAGTATCCCAAGCAGTAGAAACTCACGGTCTGGTCAATGTGGGAACTGAACAGCAATCTTAAGTTTACCAGCCCAACATATTCCCTCTGTATCTGAATAAACGGGGTGAACAGATACCTGAAACTTGGCTTTGCAGTCGGAACGGTCCTTGTCTCTCCTCTGTGCAGTGCTCATGAGGTCATCAAAGCAGGAATTCCAAAAGTTGGACATCAGGTCATGACTCTTCCCAAAAGTGTCTAGTTCATACTGCTGCATCGTGGGCCCCACCTACAGGCATACATTATAAAACATTTCAATTTTTTAAACATGGGTATTTCTTGCAATAATATTTGATTGAATGAGTCATGTTTGAAGTTACCGTAAAGCAGCCAATACATCTGTGACCACACTTCAAAAATATAATCTCAACTCTTTTGACCTTTTCTGACCCACTTCGGGTCTTAGTCTCTATTAATGATCTGACGAGTTAAATCGGGTGTGTTAGATAAGGGAGACAGGGCTGGGCTGCTCCAGGACAGTTTGGAAAACCATTTCAGAGACATGTTCTTAAATTTGAAATATAAAATATATTACATGCATGCACAGTTTTAAGGCAGCTTTAATCGCATTTTTGGTAACTTCATGACTTAACTGACCACGGCATTGCATTAGTGATAATGAATGCATAAAGTAATTCAAATAAAATAATTATTTTAATTATTTCTAAATGTACACAATGTATTTGAAATTAATATATAAAAAGTAAAACTAATGTAATACAATATTACAATATAAATGCAATATTGTGCATACAATGCAATAATTTGAATAAAATATTTTAATTATATTATAAATGTAATTTACAAACATTAAAATAATAAATACTTTAAATTGTATACATTTATAATATCATTAAAATAATTAGAGTTATTCATGTCTTCTATCATATTGCTGCTGTTGACCTTTTGCTGCTTTCATGTATACTGAAAATATATTATATTTCCTTTAGCTACTAAAGCTATACTGTAATGCTGAACAAACAAAGCACTTTTTTTTCTCTCTCTCTTCACCTCCCCTAACCTAGATATACAGTGGGTACGGAAAGTATTCAGACCCCCTTAAATTTTTCACTCTTTGTTATATTGCAGCCATTTAAAATCATTTAAGTTAATTTTTTTTCCTCATTAATGTACACACAGCACCCCATATTGACAGAAAAACACAGAATTGTTGACATCTTTGCAGATTTATTAAAAAAGAAAAACAGAAATATCACATGGTCCTAAGTATTCAGACCCTTTGCGCAGTATTTAGTAGAAGCACCCTGTGATTTGTATATACGAACAGTCCAAACAGGGTAGATTTATAAGCACACATTGTCACACGCCAGCCTTCATAAATCATCTCCAGGTCACTCTGGCATGATGTCTGTTTAATTTAAATGCATGGTTTGTTTCGGATTTGTGAGATGAAGGGAATAAATCAGGATTTTTCTGTCTTGTTTTGGCTCTGGATGAACAAAATACTAAATCAGTTCATCACTACAATGGATGCGGATAAACCGTCAAAGTGCCCTCACGCTAAAACAAACACACGTCTGCTGAGTTTTCAAGAGAGGAGTCTACAGCTCTGATGCTGGACCAATGCTGAAATCAGCTTTGGGTAAACTTAAATGAATCTAAGTTGATTATATATAGTATGCTTCAGATGTGAATAAAGGAATGGGTTGTTTCAAAGAAAAAATGTGTGTATAATTCTTCAGCACTGAGCTTTGTATGAAATGATGAGCTTATCTCATGTTTGACTGAGAATGAACGCTGAGAGACTTATTTCTGACATTCTGCATCCAAAAAAGGTAAAACATGTTTGTGGTAACATACAGTGGGTACGGAAAGTATTCAGACCCCCTTAAATTTTTCACTGTGTATTCTAAGCGAAGTGTCTGTGTGTGTATGTGTATGTGTGTGTGAGAGGGAGATCGGGCTGTACTGACGTGGTTCTGGTAGAACTGCTGCCACTCAGCACTGCTGCAGTAGTTCTGGAGATCCTGGGCGAAGGAGGGGCTGCCGTTGGTGGCAGGCAGGTTGGGGAGCATCTTCTGAAGGGTGGTGCGATCCGCATGCTGGTCCAAAAGCGCTCGGACGATGGGCACCAGCGGGCTCAGCAAAGCCTCGGCACCCGGGTCTGAGTCAGAGTTTGCAGGCCAAAGTGGTGCACCAAGACGACCCAGAAGAAAACACACCTCCTCCCAGGACAGACATAACACAGTTTGCAGCAGGCTATGAAGCTTCAAACACGCCATCTCACACACCTGAGAAAAAAACAAAAACAAATACATGTTGCTGTCATGGTTTTTGTGTTATTTGTGTCTCCCCTTTTTTATTCTGATATGTGTATTGATATTTGAATATGTTTAGAACAGCACACAATCATATTATGTATTACTGTATTCATGCAGTATATACTATACCATCATTTTTATGTGATATATAGAAAATACTATAGTAAAGTATGTACTACACCGAAACATTACAGAAACTGTAAGTAAATTTCACAAACAATTAAGAGAGAGAGAGAGAGAGAGAGAGAGAGAGAGAGAGAGAGAGATATAGAGAGAGAAAGCAGCAGATATTACATATTACTGTCGTGGTTTTGGTGTTATTTGTGTTTGTTTTATTTTTTGTTCATATTAGACTTTTATTTTGATATGTGCATTGATATCTGAATATGTTTAAAATAGCATAGTTACTGTATTCATGCAGTATATACTTTACTATACTATACCAATGGATTGATAGCTTATAACATATTGCCAGGTAAATAATTTTTATGTGATATATACAGTATACCATACAGTATATACAACACTAAAATAATTACTTTGAAACAATTTTCACTCAGAAACTACTAGAAAATTTCACAAATAATTACAATTTTATTTTCTTGTAAAACATACTCCAATAATCTTTAATTATATCATAATTTTTTAAAAGTGTTCATACAATATGTTTTTAATGTGAAGTACAGGCATAGTACAAAAATGATATGTTCATACTATATTATATACTGTAAGTATAAAATAGTATAGCATAGTAGAACAATTGAACTACATTCTGCACAGTATATAATAAACCATTTGAATGGATACAATATGCTGTACTATACTATACTTACAGTATATAGTATACAGTTTTAGTGTGCAAAATCACTGTTATTTTAGTATTATACATTATATAAATAGACTGTTATAGTACTTATTAATTATGTCCTTTTTTATTTTTATAGAACTTTTTAAATAATATTTCTACTCAGCTTTAATTAAATTTTATTTCTGTTTTAGACTGAGTAATTTCAAAATTATTTTACTTCAGTTAGTTGTCAAGGCAACATTTCTAATTCCGTTTTTTTCCGGTAAAGTTTTTTTTTTTAAATCTAATATTTTTTATTTTGTTTCAGCTATATTTAAATGAACAAAAGCTATTTTAATAGTTTTAGTTTTACCAGATGCAGTATAATATAGTATACTATATCAGGGGCGTTTTCTCCGAGGAGGCAAGGGAGGCAGTGCCTCCTCCAAATATTGGATGAGAAAAAGATTTGTAATACAAAAATAAAACAACGCCAATAATACAAAATAAAACATTAAAAAGTGTATAAATCACTTGTTTTTCTAAAGAAACATTGTCTAACAGCGACACCAGCAGGTAAAGTTACAGCAGGAAGTTCACGAATAAAACATATTGTTTAAATTGTTACTGCCTTGAGTTATTATTTTAGAATAAATTTAAAATGCTTAAGAACCCTAACTTGATGAGATTCATACTTGGCTTTAATGAATAAATGACTGATTATATTGTTAATGTAAAAATATAAAATATAACTGTTTTTTTTTTTTCTTTTTCTGATAGTGTAAGTAATGTTTCTTTAACCAAGAAAATGTGACTGGGACATTAATTTACATTTGATAAATAAAAAAAAAAAGTGGATTTTAGAACACCATCACACACCACTGTACTATATAATACATTGTACTATAATATACTACATTAATAGAATAATCGCCTACTTGACTCTACATGTTTTTTTAATTTGATAAGGCACAGGATGCAGTAAACAGTAAGCTGTTATTCCTTTCTGAATGCACAGTGTTCAAAATCATGTTAAAAAGGGTTTCTTCTATTGATCATGCACACCCTTACGAAAAAGAAGTTTATTCAAGTGTGCTATTAGTATACTTCTTTTAAACTAAAAATAGGAAAGTATACTTTTAGTCTACTTTTTATGTACTTCTCAGAAATGGGCTTTATGTACTTCTCAGAAATATACTTGAACTTGAAGTATACTACTTTTTGGTAAGGGTGTCGTGTCCCCTTGTTAGTCTTGTTTATCTACTCATGTTTGCCTCTTGTCTTTGTCTAGGGCTATTTCTGAAACACGGCTTTCACTCTGAGTGGCACTCGTCTGTCTGTGCTTATTATAGAGTTCCTCTGAGCACAGCAGCTTTTTTTTTACGAGCTCACATTCATTTATGGTTTTAAGGATGCATTTAAGTTGGTTTATTTTATTTTGTTAATTAGGTTAATTATACTTGCCTAATACCCAATATATGTAAAATTAGCTAGATAATTAATTTTTAAAATAAACGTGCATAGTAAAGTTTAATGGCCAGTAAGAAATATTTATGTCAGATAACTATTTGTAATTTATGTGGGAATAAATTGGACACTTCTTTTGCATGGTACATGGTCTGTGCAAATTAAGAGTCTTTTTTCCAAACAACAATTGGACTTTTATTATTACAGCACTCTACTCTAAAGAAAATAATTACAAGCTTAGTGCTGTATACACAGACAACCTTCCTATAGGAAACAAACATGCTCTTGAACAACAGACTGTAAAGAGCCTTGAGGCAGGCACATGTTTTCCCAGACCGCCTGTCAGTTCTTCAGTCAGTTGATATGATCTAATTTGAGTGTGGGATGGGTTTGAGTGAGTCTGGAGGAGAACGATAAAAAACCACACATATGTCCATATATGGACATCTGCTCTCCAATGGAATGAACTGAAGCTATTTACAAAAAACTCTCTTTATAGCCCAAAGGCATATCTAATAATCCTGAACATAACCATGTGTGTGTATTTTCAATGCTCCACTTGTACAAGGGAGTATACCTAGCGTCCAATTTCAACACCACGAGTGATTTTTAGTTTTGTTTGACACAGTCATAATAAGTTTATCCCACATAATTAGCTAATAAAAACACATTTGTAAATGTCAAAGAGCGAGAATTTTAGAACACAACCCTGGAATCCCTGTTAAGACGGGTGTATACTGTATGTGTGTACCTGTGGGCTCTGCTGCTGCTGAATGTATCCAGTGATGATACGCAGGCCGATCAGAGACATCTCTTTGAGCTCAGAGGACCCCGCTGACCCAGGGGTCGTGTGCCATGCCTGCAGCCTATCCAACAGATTCACCACCCCCTCAAAAATCTGCCACAAATATAGACACACTCTTATACTCATTCACAAATAAACACATTGTATACAATAAAACGTCAGAATAAATTTTGTAGAAAATTTGTACACTTATAACTTATATTACATATATTATAAACAGTACATATGAGTTTATATGTTTGAGAGACAGTGTCCTTATAGTTATGAATTTCTACATTATACACTACTGTTCAATGTGGTCATTTTTTTAAAAGTAATTAATACTTTTATTCAGCAAGGATTCATTAAACTGATCAAATGTGACTGTAAATAAATTTTTAATGTTACAAAATATATCTGTTTCAAATAAATGCTTTTCTTTTGAACTTTGTATTTAACAAAAAATCTTGAAAAAAAAAAAAAATATATATATATATACATTTGTAAATGTCAAAGAGCGAGAATTTTAGAACACAACCCTGGAATCCCTGTTAAGACGGGTGTATACTGTATGTGTGTACCTGTGGGCTCTGCTGCTGCTGAATGTATCCAGTGATGATACGCAGGCCGATCAGAGACATCTCTTTGAGCTCAGAGGACCCCGCTGACCCAGGGGTCGTGTGCCATGCCTGCAGCCTATCCAACAGATTCACCACCCCCTCAAAAATCTGCCACAAATATAGACACACTCTTATACTCATTCACAAATAAACACATTGTATACAATAAAACGTCAGAATAAATTTTGTAGAAAATTTGTACACTTATAACTTATATTACATATATTATAAACAGTACATATGAGTTTATATGTTTGAGAGACATTGTCCTTATAGTTATGAATTTCTACATTATACACTACTGTTCAATGTGGTCATTTTTTAAAAAGTAATTAATACTTTTATTCAGCAAGGATTCATTAAACTGATCAAATGTGACTGTAAATAAATTTTTAATGTTACAAAATATATCTGTTTCAAATAAATGCTTTTCTTTTGAACTTTGTATTTAACAAAGAATCTTGAAAAAAAAAAAATATATATATATATATACCTGTACATATCACAACTATTTTCAACACTGCAAAAATATTCAAATAGAAAGCAGTTATTTCAAATTGTGATAATATTTCACAATATCACTGTATTTTTTATCAAATTAACGCAGCCTTGGTGAGCATATGAAACTTCTTTCAAAAATATTAAAAATCTAACCAACCCCAAACTTTTGAAAAATAATTTTTGCAATAACAGCAACAACAACAGAACCAAACCGCATCCATATGTCACGGAAATATGATTAAAATCTGATTTTTTTTTTGAATCAGCATCAAAGGTCTCAACAGTCAGATCAGATTTCAGATGGGGTTTTTAAAATTAATTAATTAATTAATTAATTTTATCATTTGGGATGTGGTGTGTAACATCATACAAAGTGTGCAATATTTTCTGGGTCTGTTTCCAAAAACACTTATTTTCGCTAACATATTTAAAAAATCTAATTGGATTTGCATGCATTGTGAACAGCCTAACATCCTAAATCCGGATTTCTTCCAACTTCCTGTTTCCAACTCTTTTGTCTTTGGAATAAGAGTGTAAGTTATAAAATCAGAATGAGAATATATCCATCCATTCCCCACCTTCTCACTCCATAGTGTTTGATTGTCAGTGCCCTCGGCGAATAGGAAGTCCTGGAGCAGTCTGAGGAGGCGGAGCAAAGAAGGCACATGGGGCAGAGACACGCCCTGAGAGTCCCTCAAATCTGACAGAGACGACTCCAGCATCATCTCCAACAGACTACAACATACAAAAGACACATAATGCATCTGTAACACCCCCGCCAGCTTATGATATTTGTTCACAGCAGCAAAACAAACAGAATACAATGTCTTGAACAAGTCATCAGACAGGCACACCCTAAGACTAATAGTAAAAACAAGCTCTATGGTGATGCAATGCTGGAGCCACTCCAAAGAAAAGCAACAGCCCAGTAGCGCAAAGAACGTCTGCCCTCCAGAGATCCCCAACCTGCCCTCATCTGAACCAAAGGAATCCATAAAACACTTTCATGTACGCTATACTTCCCTCCAGTCTCAGCTCACTGATCTCTACTGGATTTCAAATGCAGTAGTTTTTCTCATAATGGAGGTGAGTTACAATTTAAAATAAGCTTCACAGGGCATAAAATAGAAAGATGCCCATTTTCTTCTGTTTCACTGAAACTTTAAAGTCACTTGCACTTCTCCCAACAAGCTACACATGAAAATACTTCAGGAGGGTTAGGAAATGGTTCAAAGTTCATTCAATTTCAAAAAGTTAATCTTCAAGTTTCAATCAGTCTGAAAAAACTGTCAGTCTTCATTTGATCTTTCTGGGACAGAGGAATTGTTAACGCAGTGCCTTATTTCTCAAATTTTTATGAGCTGTCATTATGTCTGATTCAGAAAGTTTTAGAGCATTAAATTTTTAAGCTTCTGACCTGCGTTTGATGTCATCAGGTGGCCGCACCAGCTGACAGGATGAGCCAAGCTTGGTGAGGACAGAGAACACCTGACCCCTTTCTCTCCATATCACATCCTCAGACCCCTCAGTGCCGCTCCACAGCACAGAGAATACGATGTTCGTCAGCAAATTACACAACTCCTCCTCGGGAGCCTAATGGGGGAGACAGACAGGCAAGTCTTCAGCGATCAAACTTATTAAAGTAATCACAAAGTAGAACTCAGAGCAGTGGTTCTCAGCCTCTTTGACTCCATTGTTGAGGGCCCCCTTTCCAGTTGTTTGCGATTTACTAGATAAGGATTTTTTAAAATGAAAAAAATATAAAAATAAATACTTACAATTTCTGCCCAATTTTAGGGTTTGGCATAAGTAGAGAAATGTATATTCTTTATAAAACTGGGTTTATTAGATTAGATTTTATTAATTTACTTTTCCAGGTCTAGAAATCACACTTTTAAAATGAGGCTGAATGTAGTGTTTACATGAATGCTCACTAAAGTGATCGGGTTGATGTGCGCTTCAATATCGGATTTGATCTCTTGACATGCGCACACTGCGCGAATACACAGTTTCCCACTGTTTGCACATACTATTCTCTTCCCATTGCTTCTTTTCTTTGTTTTAAAGAGCAGACTTGATCAAACAAGCCGTCTGTGGATGAGAGTATACTTTATATATAAAGTGAGGACTGATGGGATGTTGTTCTGTTCCAGTTCACAGACGATGAGTGGAAGGAAAACTTTAGAATAATATGACAGTCATTTATAACACTTAATTCTACAAAAACGACGGCTCGTTCTACGCATCATATGTCATTACGCCATTTCTACATCACTGCACTTGCGCAGTACTTTCCAGTTTCAGTTTTCAATGTACTCACATGTACATTTACATGTACTCTCGATTGGATTAGAAAAGGTCTACACCACCCCTTCTAATCCAAAAGAAATTTCAGATCAAATTCAATCGGATAAATTAAGGTGTTGACATGAAGGTTTTCAATCTGTTTGAGCCATCAATCTGATTACTAGCGGATTATTTGGTTTCATGTAAACATAGCCACTGATACAGTGCTATAAAATATTAAAGTGGCCGCAAGAGCATTGCTCTGCAGTTGCTAAATGGTTGCTGTTTTTTTTCCAGCCGGGTCAAGTGTCAATGACATTCTGCTCTCTTGACTCCGCTTCATCCTTCAGTTGCTGGGTTTCCAACCAACTATTTTTGAACACTGAACAAGTAACATTGTTTACTTGTACTTGTTTTTTGACCCTTGACCTCATTTGTCTTTAATTACACCCTCGGTGTCTGTAGTTATTTTGTCTCAGGAGCTGTATTCTGAAATCACTCCCTCAACCTTTATTCACTATTACCTACATTCCTTTACTAATACAGTCCACTGAATGAGTGAGTGACAACAAGTTAGCAAGTGTGCACCATGTACCTGTGGGTTGGATGTGTTAGAGATGGTGTCTGTAGGAGGTTCGGTGCTGTAGCTTGTGTCGTCCAGAACATTGGACAGACTGGAGCTCTTGCGTGGTCTCATGCCTGGGAAGCTCTTACTGTGTTCCAGAGGAGAGGGGGTCTCTGGCTGGCTACCCACAGGTGTCTGGGGCCCTTTCTGAAGGCTTAGTTCCATCTCAAAGGGTGAGCTGAAGGGTGAGAGCGGCTGATACGCGTTTTCTTCTTCCTCCAGCAAATGGGACGATGATGGAATGTCCACAGTGTTGGACAGGGTGGACGAATGACTGCTTTGTTCTCCGGAGTCAAATGGTTTGAAGTGGAGGGAATCATTCTTGAGCTGTCCGGTTGACGGAGGAGACTGTGAGAGGTCAGAGTAGCCCTCCGACACATCCTGAGCTTCTCCTTCTTCCTCATCGTACTCCTCTTCATGGCGGGCGGTGAGGGAAATGTAGACGTTCTGCCGGGTGTCCTCCATTACGCTGTCCTCACGGCGGAAGACGGGTCTGGGAAGAACGGGCTCCAGAGAGTTGGTGGGACTGGATAAAGAATTGGATTGGCTGAGAGCACGAGACTCGTACGATTCTTTGATGTAGAGTTTGGTGAGAACATCCTGCCAGCCTGACTGACGCGCGAGCTGCTTCACATACTCTTCGTTGGAGTAGATCAAGTGGAAGAGCTACAGGGATGAAAGAGAGAGAAATGTTAATTTGACAGAAAATGCCCTGTAGATTCATTGCAGATGAGCAAACACTCTAAAAATACGTCTTGCAGATGTCAAACATCTCTGTGATGTACATGTGCTATCAGGGCCATCCCAAGAAAGTCACAACATATAGTACACTTAGAAATGGGTTTTGTCTTGCTTCAAAGTGTTTTAAATGCACTGTCATTATGTCGCATTTTGCAAGTTAATGTCAGATGGACTGTATTATGAGGTAAAGCGAGTGAACTCTGTATTGCCAGATGGTAATGTCAGCATGTGAGTTAACGGAGAGATTGACTTTTGTTTGGGCATGTGAAATTGATATGATGACTTGCAGTTTAGTAGTGAGTGAGATGTTGTATCAGTAAACACTCTTTAAAAATGACAGATGCAGTGATTTATTAGTGAAGGATTCATCAGACTAATTCAAATCTTTAACTGGTGAGTGAATTGTTTGAGTAATTAATCTATATTATACATCAGTGTTTCCACTAAATCGACACATCCCTATCAAATGTCACAACTTGTGTATCATCGAAAATTTTAGAGTTTACCAATCATAAGTACGATTTGTGACTCAGAGGTCATAATTATGATATTTCTGACTCTACCTAAAAGGCACAGTTAACGCTATGCTAAGGTAGTAGGCTAAACTGTTAGCAAGCTTGCTAACCATAGGCTAACTGAAAACACAATCTTATCCCTTTTTGGTATCCAGTTTACAGTTTAATTTAAGTTCCCTTTCATGGGAACTTCGAACTGCGTCCTCTAGGGGCCGCTATGGGGAACGCCTCGTCGTGACCCGTGTCTGAAGCATACATTGAAAAAACACCAACTCGTTGGCCGGCGACAGCCATGACGTCACTACCGGTGCGACTATAGTATAAATAGGCGCCGGGAGCACACATCATTCGCAAATACAATAAACACAAATAAATTAATAAAAACAATTATAAATCAAAGTATTACACATACATTTCTATAAAAGATACTTTAAATTTACTTTTGAAAGAAATTGTAAAAGTTTTTCTGGGTCCATCTTATAAAACAAGTCCGTAAGAGTTTGTCCTGATAATAACCTTTGTCTCATGACATGAAATATTGGACAGACCAAAAGCACATGTTTCACCGTCAAGTGAGTCCTGCAATATTGACATTTTGGTGCTTCTTCACCAATCAATAAATGTCCATGAGTTAATCTAGTAAGTCCAATACGACACCTTGTATACACAACTTGGTCATGCCTGGATTTAAAAGAATAAATATATCTTGTTCCTACAACAGAATTTATTTCAAAAAGTTTATTATTTTGACATTCTTCCCATTCCGCTTGCCATTTCTCCAATATGTATCTGTTGATTACTGGCTTCACATCAGAAGGCGGGATTTGGAAACTTTGGAAACTCTAACTGTGTTTTCAAAGTCTAACTGAAAACCTACAACACCCCATAAAATAAGCTTATCATTAATACTGGTTAAAGCTGGTTGGCTAGTCTTAGCTGTTTTAAGCTGGATGCATCTGGTTTTAGCTCGTCTCACAGCCTGACCAACTAAGCCAGCTAAATAAGTGGTCAAAACCTCTCTAAAACTTGCTAAACCAGCTATGAACAGTCTGAAAGACCAGATAAGATTAGACAACCAGCTTTGGCTGGTTTTAGCTGTTTTTTCATCAGTCACTCACCTTTCGACAGATATCCAGTCGGACACTGAGGTCAGCGCGATGGGACAGGTACGCCACTGCCAACAGGTCTCTAAAATTCGGAGTGGGATCTACACCAAACAGAAAAAAAAAACAAACCAATCAACACCTGAAGTGTAAAGTTGAAAACTACCATCCACATTTTCTTCAGTTTACCTGTGGCGAGCACCTGCTCATACAGACACCGTACAGTCGCCATGGTGATGGGGACGTCTTCAAAGGAGCAGACCAGCCCAAGGTAGCCGGAGTCCTTGAGTTTGATGCGCATTTTACTGCGCTCAGGAACACGTTCACTCTTCAGGACTTTATACAAGACCTGCAGCAGAGCAGTAAAGATGTGTTCCTATCACTCTGAAAGATACTGATCTCACCGTTCGGGTTTCAAAAGTTCATCTCAACACATGCCTCACTGCAGTGTCACCATTTAAAGTGCAAGTTTGTTCTCACCCTGAATACTCTCTCACGAGCCTCGTCCCCATAGTTGGTTTTGAGCAGCAGACAGTAGAGCTGCTCCACCCCTCGCTCCAGAAGAACCGTCACAGCCTGCTCCCGTGGAGAAGGAGAACTCCTCAATACAGTGTGTAACACATGCAGAATACTGATCATCTACAGAGAGGGAGAACATTCGTTCAGCAATTAGCGAACCCTAACCTTACCAGAATATCACCATAATAAGAAATAACACATTAACTGAAAAAGGTTCCTTCAAAGATAAGGTATGCGGTTTCTCTTTACTTTTCAGTGTAATAAAATCATATTAAATTTGATTATACACAAATGTTTAAAAGGTTCAATAATGCCTTTTTTTGCTCTGTTTACACCTGGTATTAAGATACATTTTGGTCAATCAGATCACAAGTAGACGAGGAAGATACATTCTCCTTTACACCTGCTGTTTTAATCCATCTCTTTTACCCATTTTTGACCACTTTCCTGAATTCCTTGTATGTATGGGCCTTTTCTGATCTTTCGATATAATATTGCAAAATATCCTTGCACAATTTACATATGAACTCGAATGGAGACAATGGAAAATGATATGGAGAGCAGCAGCTTTTGTTTCTGCTCTGACAGCCGCAAAACTAGCTGAAAGCTGTGGATTTGTGTTAGAATCAGGACCGTTAAGAGTACATCGTGCTTTTAACAATTTTTGCCTTCAATCCAAACTTACGCTTTCAGCAGGCAAAATTTTAATCCTGTCTGACTAACGTGCTTCACAACCAGAGTTGGATATAACGCGTTACACAGTACTTTTTCCTGTAACGCAGTAAAGTAATGCATAACATTTTAAATTTGTGTAATTTGATTACAGTTACTAAAGTCAATATAATTACGTTACTTACGTTACAAATGTAGTGTTAAGAAAAAAAATAATTATATGCCTTTTAAAATCATGTTTTGCACGGCAGTGTCAGTTTGACGGAGGCTCACGAATGCGATCACTTGCATTTTTTCCTGATAACAGCGAAAAGAACTTAAAATGCTCCGCCATTTTTGATCGTATATATAAGTGTAATACATCATTTGAATCTGTGAAGGGTCTGCTTTTATTTGTGTACACTCACAATATCAACAAAATATTGTGCTTTTGTAAAATAAAGAAAATAAACAGGGTGCGCTTTCTGCCGTCTCAGTCTCCGCGAACTTCTTTCTGAAACGCGTCACTAAAATGAACCCAAACTCAGTGAATACTTCACACACAGACATGAGAAACATATCTATGGAAAGCTTGAAGTGTCTACTTTTAAATGAAGTAAGTCTTATCCAAAACAAATATTCTCTGATGAATTAATCCGTATAAAACCAACACGAGGTCCAGTCTTTCCTGTCTGAGCTCATTATCTGTAATGTGATCACGCCTCCGCACAGCACGCACTATTCATACGGTAATCATCCACGTGAGACACGCAAACCTGTAAATGCCCACATCACCTCCATAAACAAAGAAGCAAGATTCATTTTTAGCATTCAAATATGCACTGTATGTTCAGCAATACCGTTTTTAAATGTTATCAGAACCGTTTTCAATTTATTAAGGTTTTTTCTGTCTTTAATGCTTACAGTTAAACACAGCTAAGCCAGCATACACATACCCTACTACACTCAGCAAGCAATGTTGTATATAAAACACTGTATAGGCACATTTAAAGATACATTTTTCATTGTTAGGCAGGTTTATACTAAGAATGTTAAGTTTTAGAAATGGATTAAATCTTTATGTCAAGTTGCTGTTTTCATACCTTTGTAATATTTTTCAGTCAATACTAAATTACTGAACGAACTACAATTTTCACTTTGAAGTGTATTTTTTTTTTAGGTTTGATATGTTTTCAAAGTAACTTGAAAGTAAAGTAATTAGTAATCTGATTACTTTTTACATGCAGTAATCAGTAATGTAATCAAATTACAATTTTCAAGCAGTAATAAGAAATTTGTAATCAATTACTTTTTTTGAGTAACTTAGCCAACACTGTTCACAATACAACCCATACTGTTTACGAATGAGGTCAGTATTCAGAGAGGAGCCTGTCTTTAGTGGCTATTTGAACGCATTTGACCCCATGACTGTCTACACTACAAAAAAATCCGGTCGACTTCCTCTGCAATTCTGACTACATCTGGAAGTGGTTGAAAGTGGTCAAGCTCAAAACGTTTCAGACCCCGTTTACACCTGTATTTAGCATTGTCCACTTGTAATCGACAAAAACTCAACTTAATATCAGGTGTAAACAGGGCCTTTGTCTTTTTCCAACACACAATCTGAAAATGACACACTGACAAATCAAATAGTTGTGTATTCCATGGAATGCCAGGCAATTATTGTTGACAAAATGTATGACAAACAAATACCACGGTGAATCAAAATGTAATCGGAAATGTATATAAGTAAGTTTGACCACCTTTATGAAAACCAGTGGTGGTCATACAAAAATGCTATTTTTTATGAACCCAAAAACCTATGAAATTGACATTACTGAGAATCACATACAAGATTTAAGAGGAATATATATAATAACAGAATTATATGTATTATTATTATCACTATTATTTATTAATTGAAATTAATCCACAAATCACATACTATTGTGTCAATTGACCCCTTTCTGCCTTCCAGGGTTAAATGTATTAAAAAATATATTTTATTCCAACTTCCATTGGTTGAGCAAACAGATAGTCCTGCCGCAGAATAACACCATTGGTTGAGCCAGTGTGTCAGGCTGGTTGGGATACTCAAAGAAACACTGATCTGACACAAAAAGACACACTATTTACTCTTTTCAGGAAGTCAATCAACCAATGTTTTAATATCTCAGAAGTAACACACTAGATTTTGGAACAGAGCAGATTTGTGATAGTCTGGGTCACCTGTTGCTCGTCTTGCACTATAGCAGCGTAGGCTAGTACACTGTGCAGCTCCTCAGCAGTGGGAGATTTCAGAAGGTCCTTCAGCAGAGCGAAAAGAGAGATCTGCACCGTCTGCCTCTCATCAGACAGAGGACTGCCATCCTTCTCCACACTGTGGACACAAATAGGGCACTTATAAACATCTTATATCCACACTGAATATTTAAATTTCAACCAGCAAAAACTCTTCAGTTCTGACCGCACCTGTAGTGTGTCCGAATCGAGTCCAGGATGTACTGAACACCATACCTCTTACGAGTCTTCAGCTTGCCTTCATTGATGACGGTGGTTAGGTACTGCACATGACCTGCAAACCAACACAAATACAGACATACAGATAAAAGGGTTTGGAATTAATTAATCAGGTAAGAACAAATTTGTCATTTTGGGTAAACTATTCCTTTAGGACCTGATTTGTATTTTTTGCATTTAATGCAAATAAGTTGAATACCAAAAAAGCAATTGCGTCATTCCATGTCAACTCAACTAGAGGTCCCCGGCTCAAATTTTTGATTTTGTTCATATTTTTTTCTGTAGAAAGACAAATATATATAGTGATGAAAGGCAAAATATTAAATGTCACAGATGTATATTAACTGAGTAATCCACTATTTTGTAGAGGGGGGGGGGTCAAAATGACAAGTTTCACCTGGAGCCAAATTAGAGGGGTGTAAAAATGACTTTAGAAAGCTGGCAGCATCATTATTTTATTTTTACACATAGATCGGTAGGTCTGTTAGTAAAATCTGTTGACTTTAGCAATCTGTGTTTCATTATATGCCAACAGTGACAGTTCAAAAATGGCAAAAAGCACTTTTTTGCCTCAAGTTTGCATGCCTGTAACTCAATAAATATTAAAGATATCTTAATATCCTTTTAGATTCTGATTCTTAACAAACTTTCCTTTTGGTATCTTCATTTTACAGGCCTTCGATGGTTCAATCCCAGAGATATGGAGATCTAAATGCGGCTCCATGAGTAAATTGGAGTAAAATGAGTAAATCCATTTTCAGAGGACAAAAACAAATGTGGGACACTTTACATACAGCTGACACCTACCGATCTCTGTGTAAAAATAAAATAATGATGCTGGCAGCTTTCTAAAGTCATTTTTACACCCCTGTAAATTGGCTCCAAATCTCAGTGAAAATTGTCATTTTGACCCCACTCTACAAAATAGTGGATTACTCAGTAAATATACATCTGTGACATTTAATATTTTGCCTTTCATCACTATTTATATTTGTCTTTCTACAGAAAAAAATATGAACAATATCAAACATTTGAGCCGGGAAATTTCAGAAAATGTGGTTGATTTGACACGGAATGACCCAATAGTAAATGCCATTGTGATGTGTATTGGCTGTTTACCCAGGCAGACTGCAAAGTGGCTGTGGCTCCAGATCCTGAAGTCAAAGAGCAGGTACTGGTACAGCTGTGATAGGAGGGCGTTGTTGCCCTCGTTGGACACCTGCTTGAGCAGGAACTGACAGGCCATCAGTACACTCATGTCCATCATACTGCTGGGAACCTGGAGGAGAAAAAGAATGCGAGACAGGAGATGAAGTGTTTTTGTAGTTATAAAAGCCATCAATCAATTACAAAAATAATCAAATTATTTAAATGATATAATGATCAAATTAATCACATATGTATTAATCACACACACACACAATATTACTGTTTCATTGTATTTTTCATCAAATAAATCAGCAATGGTCAGCATAAGAGAAAACATCTTACAGACCCCAAACTTTTGAATGATAGTGTACAAATTAATAAAAAAATTCTAAGCTATTCATATAAATATAATGGAATACAAGTATAATTTTTAATTGAATTAAATGTAATACTTGTCCTACATAAATGCATTTAATTGACAGCCAGTGTTTTAAGCCTGAGGATGGTATACTTATGTAACTATGAGTGTGTGTGCTTTCCATCTCTCAAACCCAAGAAACTCTCTTCAAAGGACTTTACAAGCCTGTCAAATCACAGTACATCAAAAACAGATCAGATATGACTTTTAATTTTGTGGAACAATAAAAGCCACTCCTAAGCCTAATGATCTTACAGCAGATCAGAAATATATCAGCATCAGCTTCTCTGAACTTCAGCTGCTGTAACAGAGACGGCCATAGACGTCTTATCAAATTATCTGCTTAATATCACATGCCTAGCATCCGATCGAATCGCTAATGTAATGACAACTATGCAGCTCCTACAGATTTGAAACTTTCATACTGATTACGTGTTATATGTCACAGATGTTGGAACACGCTGTTGTGATAAACGTGTGAACTCTTGATTTGAATGCGTTTACGTCAGACACTCAAACCTTGCTTATTAATTTCTTTAAAGATTCCTGGCACCAGATAAAACCTTAAATCATGAAAAACTGTGATTGTGTGTCTATTGTGCAATATCATGGGATTGTTAACACAAGTGTTTCCTAACAGGATGCTTCGCCTTGAAGTCACATACACCAATATGTCCTGTTAGACCTCCAGATGCACTCTCTATTCACCAGTGTGTGTGTGTGTGTGTGTGTGTGTACCTTGCCGAGCATGGCTCCGATGATGGGCGGCCCGTGGCACTGAAGCAGACTCTCCTGATTGGCTGGATGGTTGCGCAGCATGTTCTTAATCATCAGCAAAAACGCTGCTACACTGTTCTTCCCTAAACGGCCCTCTAACACACACACAAACAAAGCAGCAATCAGTTTCACATTAGTGAAATGTAACATTGACAAATTGCTGCAATGGCATTACATGGGAAATCAACAACCAAAGTTCAACTGCAGAACACGAAATACACAAACTCTCTGCAGCCTTCTACACAAGCATATAAACACATGTATGAAGACTCAAACACAACTTTATGAATAACTACCCCACAGCAAAATCAAATAGCATACTCAGAAAACATCAATGGTGACTCATACTGCAATTACAGAAAAATTTACATCATCAATGTTTTAAGCAGCTCTAAAAAGCCACATAACAATCTGTTAATGTTTCATGCTGCATGCTGTAACTCTGCAGACTGTGAAAAAAAAAAAAAAAACGGTGACACTTTCTATGAAGCCCATATTTATAACACATTATAAGAGTATTCTTAAGGCATTATAATGAATGCATAATGCATTATAAAAAGTATATGTTGTTTCATCTCATAAATATTCATAACGACAATTATAATACATTATAAAACTTATTTGTGGTTATAACTTTTATGAGTATGATTATTTATAACACGCAATAAACGCCATGTTAAATCCACTTAATTTATAATGGATTATAAGTCTCATATCTTGACATTATTTATTTAAGATCTGTGCAGTAGCTTACTATCTTACTGATATTACATTAAATATGGTAAAAATATAACACATTCATCTGATCAAATAACTGACTTTATGGCTGTTTGAGGACATTTTTTTTTTTAAATTTGTATTATTATTATTCTTGTTGTTGTCATTGTTGTTATTATTTATAAGTGGTATTTGACCGCTTTAAGTAAAGTAACAAGTTAACAATGGCAAGATATGAGACTTATAATACATTATAACTATGGGAAATATAATCCATTGTAAGTTAAGTGGATGCATTGTGTTCATTGTGTGTTATAAATCATCATACTCTTAAAAGCTATAACCACAAATAAGTAAATATTATAATGCATTAAAACTGTTATAAATACAGGCTTCATAGAAAGTGTTACCAAAAAACAACACTTCCCCCCCCCCAAATTTTTTTAAAAAAAACTATACCGTATTGTCCCGAATATAAGACGATGTTTTTTTCTTGGAAATACATCTGAAAAACCGCGGTCGTCTTATATTCAGGGTCTAGACTTTGACATGTCAATAATACACCCACAACAATAGGTGGCGCCAAATACGCATAAAACGAGTGTGTTCACAACGAAACACACAGCGTCTCCACAACAGTGAGAATAAAAGTTACGCCTTCTTTCTTTGCGTGAACATTTGGAGTGGTTGACTCTTAACTTTTATAAAGAATATCTCTTTGGATTTGAGACTTTAGTCTTTGCAACTTTACAGATCTTCTTTATGCACCAAGAGCTTGTAACACTCCAAAGAGAAAGGAAAAATTGAAATCGCATCATATGACCCCTTTAAGGTTTGTGTGGTTTATGAGTGTCATTTTTTTTTTTTAAATGTTTATATAAAGGTTGTTTTTAGCTCTAGTTTCAGTTCTAGTTTATTTAGTTGTAGTTGTTTTAGTACTTCAACTTGAACTAAATGAAAATGAAAAATGTCTTGGCAACTAGTTGGAATAAAAGTATTTTTTAAATGTAATTGTTATATTTTTAAAGGGTTTGTTTTAGTCTTAGTTTATTATGATAATAACCTTAATTTTCATTTTAAAAGTAAGCTTATTTTAGGACCATTTTATATATATATATATATATATAATTTGTGAAATGTTCAATGATTGAGATGGCCAAGCAAATCAAAGTAGGCAGGGTTTACGGTCCACAGAAGCAGAGAGTACATTTCAGCGCGAATTGTCAGTCTTAACAATGAAAGACCCAGCTAAGGAATTAGCGAAACATTTAATATTTCACAACTGCTATGTAATGTTATGGAATGATTCATCCATGCATGCATTTCATTTATTTATTTTTGACCTTGTAATGCCAAATCAAATCAAAGTGTCACAACTCGATCTTCTGGTGAAAACGTCAGACTTTTTTCTGGTGATGTATGCAGGATTCCAATCATTTAATGCTTTTTATTTGATGTCTACATGGACATGAATGATGGGAAGAGAGAGAGGGTAGGGAATCGGATATGTTGCCACCAATGTGTCACGGCTCTGAGAGAGTACCGACCAGATGACTTCCCCAGTGGCAGCAGCATGCCGGCGGGGCCCCTGGAGGACGTGAGCTCTGGCCCGAGAAGATCTGAAGTCTCCTGACCTACAGTCTCGCCCTGATCCAGTAAACACACCTGCTCCAGCAGGGGCAGGAGAGCTCCCATCCCACCTACAGAGCTCAGCACATCCTACACACAAGACACGATAATAAAACACAATTAGCATTTACTGCTCCTGCAGGGATCTATGAGCTCACGAGTTTTGTTCTAGAAGTATGTGTTGAATACACACATTTCCCAACACTGGCAAACACAAAAGGCTGTATTGATGTCAGAACAAGATGAATCATTCTGATCTTAAAAGATAATGAAGCTCAGTGATGCATACACACCTTGACGTCCCAGTTCACCACTCTGTGACCAGTCAGCCTGCCATCGTAAAGATGGTTGGGGGACAAATCCAAACAGATCTGGCTCTTAAAGGCCTAGAATATGGATATTTCAAGTTTAAATCATATTTATAGATTCATTTATTTTTACTTTTTTCACTAGTGGGCTCTTGACCTTTAGACTTTTGAAGCTTACTTTATATTACATTTATATTATCATAAATATACAGAACAGTTTGTCAGATGGATGTCTGGATGAATCTCTGAGCAGATAATTACCTGTGGTGTATAGTATAAAACTAGTTTACTGTTGACTTCTGAAGGTTCACCATCAGCTTTGAACAGAGAAACATTATTGGGACCTGCCAAGTGAAACAGAGATAGACCTTCTTTAACGCTTGTTTCTTTGTGGTTGGAAAGGTGAATTTCTGCATTATGAATGCGGTGGATGTCTCATTTATACCTGCAGTGAACAGGGCTCGTGCCTGAGCAGGCTGCAGAGCTTCATGGCAGATGAACACTGTGGCTAAAAGGCCACCCAGTGATGAAGGAGAGCCCCACGCAGTGTCCTGTAGCCCTGCTGGGATGGTGTGAACGAGACTGTCCCGACTCACACCTGGCCGCCCCCCTGCGGCTGCTGCAAAGGATGCAGGGAAGGACTGGGAACGTGCAAGGGTGGGTGGCCCAGTATGAGCTGCAAATGCCATCTCGGAGGGCGAGTGGGACGGGTTGGGCAGGGTCGGAGAGGTAGTCGTGGTAGTAGTGGTCCGGTGACCAGCTGATCCAATGCAGCAGGAAGTGAATGGCTGAAACGTTGATAGTCAAACAGACCAATGAAGCAAAATATGTTCATAATAAATCAAACTACTGCAAGCAATAACATTTATTCACCTCATTCAGAGAAGGAAAGCGCAGGGGTGCTGTTTTACACTGCACTCCGTCCACATAAACAGTGACCACGTTCTGTCCAAAGGGCCGACGGCCAGGAACGTGAACAATGGCAACTGAGTGCTAGAGTGAAGAAAAGAAGGGTAAGAATAAGACTTTGAATACAGAAATTAAATCTTACAATGATATAAGTGTTGGGGGTAAAGCATCACAAGTAATGTGAGTCACATAATCAGATTACATTTTTCAAGTAACTAGTAAAGTAATGCATTACTTGTAAATTTACAATGAAATATCTGAATTACTTTTTCAAACAAATAATGCAAGATACTTTGTTTTCCCTTTTATTCACTGACACGTCTCCTGATTCCGTGTTGAGAGAAACACTGAGTGAGGTGCACACGCAGAGGTACTTCCTTCAGCCTGGTGTGAAATGGCCTTTACAGTTGCCATAAATATAACTTTTGTTTTTTTTGTTATTATATAACAAATAAGCAAGCCAGGCCCAGGTGACACAAAGTAACGCAAAAGTAGTGTAATGCATTACTTTCCATAAGAAGTAAAGGAATGCAGTTAGTTACTTTTTTATGGAGTAACGCAATATTGTAATGCATTACTTTTAAAAGTAACTTTATCCAACACTGGATATCAAAAAGTAAGCTTCTTCCCTTACGAAAATTAATCATGGTTTTATAACAAATAATAAAAAAAAAACAAGGTTAACATTGTTTAGCCATGATAACCACAAATTAACAATGATTTTGATACACTAATCATAGTTTAACCATAGTATTTGTAGTAAAACTGTGGTTATACAAATGGTAATTAATATGCCAAAAAAAAAAACATGGTTACTACACTTTTACTATAATAAAACCATGGTTAATTTTTGGGAGGGTTTAATTGAAATCATGCTAAAGAGGCTAGTCAAGCTAAAGCTAATTCAGCAGTAAAACAAAAATACATGTGATTTTTCTCATATTTATTTTCATACAAGTGCTGTTTTCTCTTCCTTAAACTGTCTATGGTAATATGTGTGAAAATTGTCTGTAAGGTCACTAACCCAGGCGCAATCATTCAGTGGGTGTTCTGGCAGGGAAACAGCCATGTACTCCTTTTTAGTACATACTGCCACCACCAAAACTTCTTCTGTGGTGAAAAACGCTTCAAAGCCAGTTCCGCTTGCTGTGAAGAAACTACACACAGGACACAATACAGCTTTTAAAGGTACAAGTACACATAAAACAAGTACTCTTGGTCACCAATACAGCGTGCTGTTAAAAACGCTAGTTCTAGATTACTATTAATATTAATGTACTAAACTCATGCAGATATACAATATGTACAAGCATTTTGTAACAAGCAGGCCTGGTCAATATATTGAATATTCACCACTTACTCACTATAATTTTATTTGCCATATAAAACTAAGCAACAATTGTAAATATAGAAGAATTGCAAAATGCTGGTTAAAATCATAGCGATGTTTAACTGCAGTCATGAGTGTTAAGACAAATACTTTAATGTCATCTCTGATCATCTTTTCAGCAGTAAAATCATTGTTTATGTTAAGCTTGCAAGTTGCAATTACTGATTACAGATAAATGAAAATGAGAAAATACTGCAGATGCACAATATGCATATTTACACCCACATTAACATATTACATAATAATGATGTGATGCCTAAAATCACCAATAGCATTTAAAACAATTGACTTAAAATATATAATTTAATATAACTAATACTTAAATCGTTTAATAATCATCTGGTCATCTGCATTAACACAACCATTTTCAACTATGATAATAAAAATAACAAGCACCAAATATTACAATGATTTTTAAAGGATCATGTGACACTGAAGAATGTATATATATCAAAAAGGCTAAAACAATTACAAGAAATGATACAGCAGATGATGAAATTTTTATTATAACACCCATCTATCATGAGTATTCTCGAACAAACCTGTAAAGCTGTTTCCTGCGTGGTCCCTTAGCCATTCGAACCATATTATCCGGGTTTGTCAGGTGGGATTCTGAGTAGTGGTGTTGGGGTGGAGGAAAGTCTGTGTTGAGGCACAACCAGGCATGGAAAGCAAATGCGCTTCCTGACCAGCGCTGTATAGCTGGCACCATAATACCCGCCATAGGGGGCATAAGGTCAAAATACTGCAAGGCGCTGCACCCACCCTCTCCACGGGCGGCCATGGCAGAAAGCACCCTTACCACGCGCCCGCAGTACGGGTGAGGGGGTGCACCGGGCTCAGTACACAAGAGCTTCAGCAGACTCTTCAGTTCACAGGGCCGTAAAGAAAGAGATCCCAAGTCTTGAAGCAAACCCAAGAGGGCGTCTGCGCACTGCCGGTCGAGCCGCACTGGGGGTTCGGACAGCACCTCCAGCAGAGCGCCTACTAAGTCTGCTTCAACGGCTACAGTGCGGCAGGACAGAATTCCTCGACACACGGCCGCCAGCCACTGGGACACAAGCAGCTGCAGAGAGCGAGAGCCCAGGTCAGGCAACCACTGCAGCAGCAGGAGCAAAGGCTGTTCGTTACTGATGCCCAACTGCATGGCCAGGGAATGCTCTCCTTCAACAGCCTGAGAGGAAAACATGGAGAAAGGGGAAGGACAAAGCAAAAAATGATGCTATGAGGATACAAGTTTTTTTTTTATCATAGTGACTCAGTCATGATCCTGAAATAATTCATAGTTACACAACTTACTGCATTTGATTAAAAACTTACTTCTTGAGCATTCATAAGTACGTTTTATAAGTATGCATATGTGTAGTATGAAATTCAGAGTTATTTCAGTACCATTAATGTAGTTTTATAGTATTAATATATTTATTAATATTTTGAATTTGTTTTTTGTTTTTATATTTTACATTTTCATTTCAATATTATTTTGTTATTTATTTTAGTAATTGTTTTGTTTTATTATTTAATTTTTATTTTATTGTATTTTTTATATGTCTACTTAGTTTTTAGTATTTTATTATTTTTATTTGAGTTATTTTCAATATATTCTGAATCATTTTAGTATATAAACTTCAATTAATTAGGTTTAAATGTTGGCTTGGCAACTAACTGTATTATTATTTCATAATATTTAATATTTGTTTAGTTTTTTATATTTTACATTTTCTTCAGTTTCAGAAATGTTTTGTTTTGTGTTTTATTTATTATAAATGTCTACATAGTATTTTTTTTTTTTCAGTTTTATTTGAGTTATTTGTAGTTTTAGTAATTTGTAATTTTGTAATTTAGTGGTTTTTCAACTTTAGTTTAGAAATGTTGGCTTAGCTACTAAATAACTGTTTTATATATATATATATA